ACCAATGCGGGGGGAAACCAATGCGGCGGGAGGGGGGGATGTCTGGGGGGCTCCGTGGGTGAAGTGTGTGCCTTCTGCTCAGGTCATGACCTCAGGTCCTGGGGTTAAGTCATGCGTTGGCCTCCCTGTCCAGCCCCTGCCCAGCGGGGAGCCTGTCTTCCCTCCCACTTGTGTGCTCTCTCTCAATCTCTCTCTCTCTCTGTTGCTCTCTCTAATGAATAGTCTTAAAAAAATAACATAAAAACCAAAAACTGATGCAGGAATGCATTTTGAAAACAAGGAGGATAACAGTAAACAAGACAAACATGCCTTTGAAAAGAAATTCAAATAGTGACTCTGTCCAGAGGAGAGGGTCTCCTCTTCAACAGAGTGGCGCTGTGTGAGTACTCTGTCAGTGCCTCGCTGTGTGTCTGTCTGTCCTTCCTTCCCTGAGTCCGCTGTCAGATGCGTGGGGAGGGGGGCACAGCAGAGATGGGAGGGGGACATACTGTTTTCTCCAGGTCACTTCCTCCTCCCTGCTTGGCCTCCCCCCTCCCCCCGCCCAGAATGTCAGCTCTGCGAGGTCCCCACCCCGTCTCCGTATGTGCCATGGTGTCCCCAGCGCCTGCATGGTGCCTATGGGTGGGCAGCCATGTGACACCCGAGCCCCCCTGCCCTGTTCGCCTGCCTCCAGCGGGGAGAAGCCCCCCAGCTTCCCTGCAGCCCTGCCCTCCAGCTGGACCCCCACAAAGGCCGGCCTGTCACATGTGTCATCAGCGTGGTGGTGACCTAGGGTGATGGTGGACAGGACGCAGGATGTGGTAGGGGTGCTGCAGGAGGCACATGTCTGGAGACTTCCTCCTTCCCTGGGCTGGAGCGCACATACGTGTGCGTGCGTGTGTGCTGGGGTGGGGGTGGCAACAATGTCCCGGCCTTGTCTCCTGGGCAGAGCGTGCGCCATTCGGGTGCGAGGGCCGCCACAGCTGGGAGCTTCTCCTGAACCCTCGCGCTTCAAGCTCAGGAGCCAGGTAGACTCGGGTCAAGCTTCTGGGGAGCCCATTGGCGCTTGCACTCGGGTGCCACACTTAACACTTAGGGCCCAAATAACAGGGACAGTAGGACGGTCCTCACCACCTGGTGCTTGCTGCTGAGGACCACGGTCAATCTGCCTAGCGACGGATGTTTGCATATTAATCTAGTGCATGTGGTAGTTTCTATACTTTTTAGTATCTGTGACTAGGAACACACGTAACGTTAGTGTGACTTCAGCAAGAATTTTTATTTTTATTTTTTTTATTAAAGTTTTCTTTTTTTAAATTTATTTATGATAGTCACAGAGGGAGAGAGAGAGAGAGAGAGAGAGGCAGAGACATAGGCAGAGGGAGAAGCAGGCTCCATGCACCGGGAGCCCGACTTGGGACTCGATCCCGGGTCTCCAGGATCGCGCCCCGGGCCAAAGGCAGGCGCCAAACCGCTGCGCCACCCAGGGATCCCAAAGTTTTCTTTTTTTAATAAAGATTTTATTTATTTATTCATGAGAGAGACACAGAGAGAGGCAGAGACACAGGCAGAGGGAGAAGCAGGCTCCCTGCGGGGAGCCCGATGTGGGACTCATCCCAGGACCCTGGGGTCACGCCCATGAATTTTTAAATGACTGTGTGCTTTCGTAAATCACATAAATCTCTATACATGTTGGATTTATACATAAACACTTCTTTTTGCATTTTCAGTAGGGAGGGGTTTCTTTTGCTGATACTGTAAATGGTGTTGTTTTTAAACATCTCAAACTGTTTTTTTGTTGATGATAATAAGCAAGAGTGCCGTTGACTTTTGTATATTGGTCTTGTGTCCGGCAATCTTGCTGTACTCAACTACTTGTTCCAGTCATATTTTTGGTGGAGTTGCTTTTTAAAAAATATTCTTTAAAAATTTATTTATTTGAGACAGAGAGAAAGCATGAGCATGAACGGGGGTTGGGAAGCCACAGAGGGAAGGAGCAGACTCTCCGCAGAGCAGGGAGCCCAAGGCAGGACTTGATCCCAGGACCATGAGATCATGACCTGAGCTGAAGGCAGACGCTTAGCTGACTGAGCCCCCTGGGCACCCCTTATTTTCCATATAGACAGTGATGCCATCGAAAATGGAGGGAATTTTGGGTTTTGCTTCCAAGTGTGTACCTTTTGTTTTGTCTCTTGTCCTGCTGTGCTAGCTAGGACTATCTCCACTCACATCAGGGCACCAGGCCCACTTCCATGTTAAAAATGCTCAGTGTTGGTGCATCCCTTGCAGTCAATCCAGGGCCTGGACCAGTCTGCCACACTGCCTACAGCGAGTGGCCAGAATCAAGAGTGTCTAGGGTTCCCCATGGGGAATATGGATCAGACCCAGTGTTGCACCTATAGGTCACTTCTGGGCTTTGGGACGAGCTTCTGGCCTGGCTCCCAGCCACAGTGTGTGTTCATGAGTTGGCAGTAAATCCAGGGCCTGGGAACAGGAAGGGTGTGTGTTGGGGAGTTTGTGGTGGGTTGGGTGGGGGGTCAGGTGGTGAAGGGGTCAGGCAGGTGGAGGGAATGGGTGGGAGGTGCTGTCCCTGGGCCAACAGGGCTGACCTTGCCCTTCAGGAACAGAACAGTGTGTGCTCCAGGCTCTGGGCTCAGGGCAGGGACCCATGCTAGGTCCTGCAGGGGACTTCAGGGGAGCGGGGCTGCTGCGGGCTCCCTGGGGCTATCTGTGTCCCCATAGCCATGCCCAGGGAGAGCACTTGTGCGTTGGCATCTGCTGCATGTGCAGACAGGCTCCCCAACACCAGCCAGAATCGAAAAGGGAGGTTCTCCATCAGGTTCCTCATTGTGCCTATGGGGAAACTGAGGCACAGAAATGAGACGTGTGCCTGCTGGTCGGGGCTGACATCTCAGCAATGGCAAGCTCTGTGTGCATGGTGGTCATACTGTTTTCCATACAATCTAAGATGCAGTCAATGCCTAAGATACATGATTATTTTATAAACCCCGAGGAAGAATAATCAAAACCATTTATAGCTGAGCCCCGAACTCCATGGGCGCCTGGGGTGCTGACTTCTGCATGGTCAAAAGCCCACAGATGACTGCTGACTCCCCAGAATCTCACTGGTTGTTGTCCACCATCAGCCAGAGCCTCACCAGGAGCATAAAGAGCCGATGAGTCTGTGTTGTGCATATCGTATGCACTATGTGCTGTAGTCGCTGTGGGTCAGGCCAAAGAAAAGAAAATGTTATTAAGAAACATGTAGGGAGGGATCCCTGGGTGGCGCAGTGTTTGGCGCCTGACTTTGGCCCGGGGCGCGATCCTGGAGACCCGGGATCGAATCCCACGTCGGGCTCCCGGTGCATGGTGCCTGCTTCTCCCTCTGCCTGTGTCTCAGCCTCTCTGTCTCTCTCTGTGTGACTATCATAATAAATAAATAAAATCTTAAAAAAAAAGAAAGAAACACGTAGGGAAGTCTGCTGAGAGGAAAAACACCTGTGTTTATCGAAAGGACCGTGTGTAAGTGGACTTGTGCAGCTCAAGCTCGCGTGACCCAAGGACCAGCTGTGAACTATGATGTGCTGTTATGTAAGACATGCTCCGAGTTGGTTTTTATATTTTCTTTAAGATTTTATTTATTTATTTGAAAGAGCCAGCACAGAGGCAGGGAGAGAAGCGGCTCCCTCTGGGGAGCCCGATGCAGGACTCGATGCCAGGACCCTGAAGTCACGCCCTAAGCCAAAGGCAGATACTCAACTGCTGAGCCCCCTGGGTGCCCCAAGACATGCTCTTGTTTTAAAGATGTTAATGTGTGAAAAAATGTGCTGGTGAGCACACCGAGGCCTTGGTTTGAGGTTTTCAGGCTCCCGAGGCGGGTATGCATGTCCTCACCTCACAGCCGGAGCCCTGAGGAGCAGAGGGGCAGGGGGCTCACCTGCCGGTGCACAGCTTTTTGGGGACGAGGGCTGAGCTGGGATCCTGTTCTTCCTCAGCCCTGAGCTCTTAACCAGCAGCCGCCCGAGTCCCCTGTGTTTTTTGCAATGTGGCCACATCCACACATGGGGAGCCCTTGCATCATAGATGCTGGGGTGTCATCCAGGCCCTGGTGTTGCCAGGGCTCAATGGTCAACTGTCGATAGTGAGCTTCTTGGGAGCATCCCCCCAGCACCTTTGTGGTTTCAGCTTTGACAGGTTTTCGCCCACCTGCCATCTCCAGCCCTTCGTGGGTCTGCCCAGTGGAGGGCGCCCTGGGCACCGGCTGGTTCCATCCAAGGCCCTGAGGAGGTCCGATGCCGTGGCCTGGCTTCTGTGGATGGTTCAGGTGATCCAGCAGTGGCCGCCCCAGGCCCCCCAAGAGGCCGACACGGATCCTTGGAGCTCAGGGCAGACTGCGGTGGGCACTGTAGGTGGGGAGCCAAGGCTGTGGAAAGAGGACGGGGCGCAAGTGGAGCTCAGACAGGCTCCCCCCCCCCCCCACACACACACGCTGGGGTCTGTGTCTCTGCCGAGGCCGTCGTCCAGGCCTGCACACACAGTTGTGTCGGCCCCTTCGCCCTCCCGGTGGCCTTGGGCAGGGCCTGTCGCCTGCCTGCAACGGGGAAACACACAGAAGCGCGTTGCCTGTGGGAAGACGTGTTCTGGGCTCGGTGTGACATCCTGGGCCGTGGGGCCTGTCCTGCCCACCTGGATGTCTCACATCAGCAGGTGGCTGAGCGGCCACCGTGGACAGAGCGCCTTCCCACCGGCTGACACCCTGTGTCCACGCGGCACGGCCCACTGTGCGTTCTGGCCCCGGGCCACCTTGGGGGCGTCTTGATGGCCTCCAGTTTCGGTTTTGGGGCGCGCTCATTCCCTCCTGTTGGAGGAGCTGGAGCCTGAATGTGAGCACAGCGTCTGGCTGGTTGGTGAGGCATGGGGCGCCGATGGGGTTGGGAAGGCTGGCCTTGGTCTTGGCCACGTGGGGCCTCACGCAGGGACACGGGCTCAGGCCTGGCTAATGAGTGTGTTCCCCTTGGCAGGTGGTCCTCCCCCGGGTGGTGGTGCCCCCTGGCACCTTCGAACTGTCCTCAGTGACTCGGTGGAGAGCTCTGACGATGAATTCTTTGATGCCAGAGGTAAGTGAATGCCCTCGCCCCATCATTAGAGGGATCCCTGATGAGCATTGGCGTCTCTCCTGGGGCCACCATGTCCCACACTCACATGTACCGACCCGTGCATCCCCAGGGCAGGGGCTCTACCTTTCTCATTGGCTGTGGGGCATGGGCACCATCCTCCGTGGGCTTGGGGTTTGGGGGAGAGGGGGACCAGGAGGGACTCGGAGGAAGACAGGCTCCCGCAGGGGAAGCGACACCACCCAGTGCAATGGCCCAGGTGCCAACAGAGCTGGTGACCAGGCCCTGGGGGGACGTGGGGATGGAGGCGAGGAAAGGAGGCAGTGCCGGCGGGTGGCAGGTCTGCCCACAATGTCCGAGGGAGAGTCCCCACGGCCACGCTTGCCCGGCCTGAGTGGGCGGGGATGAGATGCACTGAGGCCTCCTCTGTACCCAGGGCCCATCCTCACTGCCCGTCCGGCCCCGCCCCGGGAAGTCACCACATCCAGGTGTCTGCTCGCTCCTGGGGCGGTAGCTCTGAAACACCTGGCCGAACAGGGTCTTGAAAGGCAGACAGACTGTGCCTGAGCGGGACCCTGGGGACGTGGCCTCCACGGTGCCTCGGTTTCCCTGTCAGCTCTGCACCTCTGGAAACGGGGAAGACTCCAACTCAGGGCAGCAGGGCCCGGATGCCAGGCCTCCCCAGCCCTCCCCGGCCCAGCTGGGCCTCACGTGCTGCCTTCCGTGGGTGTCTGGCTGCAGTGGCTGTGGGGCTGCTTCTCCGTGGCAACCGGCTGACAGTGTGACAACAGTGCTGTCAATATTTTGATGCTCAGAACACTTTTATTTCAAATATTTTGCAGTTCACCAGGGTGGGTGCTCCTGGATGGTGGGGACGGCAGGTGGCCGGCAGTGCTGAGGGCCTGCTCACCTGTTTCCCTCCAGCAGCTCTGGGCACTGCCCCTATCCCACAGGCTGCATCTTCCTTCTGCCACCACCCCCCATGACCTCACCCCTGTGACCCCCCTGTGACCTCCCCATGACCTTCCCCCATGACCTCTCCCATGACCTCCCCTGTGGCCTTCCTCCGTGACTCCCCCATGCACACCCCACCTCATATGGGGGTTTCCCTGGCTAGATGAGAGCCCCTTGCCATGTGCAGGGGGGATGGTTAGGCCCCGGGGGGGGCAGGATCCCCCTCGTCTGTGGGTGGCTTGGGGGCCTTGGCAGCGGTACAGAGCAGTCTGTGCGCCCCACGCCGCCCAGGCAGGATGCAGCTCTGTGGGCCACATGGCCGGTGCCCCCATGGGTGCTGCGGGCTGGGCAATGGGGTCCAGATCCTCAGAACCAGGAGAGGTGTGTCCCTCCTGTTGTCCAAGGGGATCTGGGGGCCACGGTGCAGCCTCTGAGGGTGGGGTATAGAGCGGGGCCAAACCTGGGGGCATCGGGGGGCCCATGGCTCAAGCCCTGACCACGCCCAAGCTGAGTTCGTCTGGCCACCCACATCCAGGCTGGGGAACAGCCCTGAGGACTGGGAGGCTTGTCCAGGGTCACTCTGGGTTGGGCAGAGCCGGGGCTGAAACCACCCCCTCCACTGTCTATGTTCACTGGGTGTCCACCCATCAGGGAGCAGGCGCTGCCCTTGCAGGGCGGGCATCGTGGGCGCTGCCCTCACAGAGGAGCCATCGCGTGGCTGGGGACAGGGAGACAGCGGGCCAGTGGGTGAGCTGCAGCAACAGTTGCCGAAAATAAAACAAGGGAAGAGACACCTCAGCAGAGACAGAAGACACACTGGACTGTCCGTCCTCCGGGAAACACAAGCTGAGACTGTGGTGTGACACTGCCCCCTGCCCGCAAGGACAGACAGTTGCCTCCACCGACCCTGATGGAGGAGTTGGGATTTGCAAACTGCTGGCAGGAGCAGCTGTGGTCCGGCCGTGTGTAGTGGGTTCCAGCTCCTCCACAGCTCGTGGTCCTCACCCCCGGGGTACCGGCCGTCCTGCTGCCGGGTGTCTGCCCGGGGCAGGGGGAGAGCGCATGTCCACCCAAGAGCGTGTGCAGGGACTGCACTAGCTCCTGCCCAAACCTGACACACCCCATATGCACAGTGGCAGGTGAACAAGTGCACGAACGTGGGTCAACTGAGCATGGAGACGCGGCGTGGCCATGAAATGGGCAGGCCCTAGGGGTGGGGGCTGTGAGTGGGAGACGATGGGTGGACAGAGTGCCCTGGGGGCTGACCCAAGGATGCGGAACTGGGATGTGACGCGCCTGCCGTGGCAGGAGCAGGGAGTGGCCTGGGGGCGGGAGAAAACTCTGGGAGTGATAGTTTTGAGGTCCCTGTGCCCAAACTTTGCAAATTGTCCTTTTACCTGCATGTAGTTTACTGAGCACTGTTCTCCTCAGTGACACCGTTAAAAGTGGAGGCCCCCACCCCCCGATGTAATCTGAGGGATGCCGTGGGGTGAGTGGTGGGCCCCTGGGGACATGCTGGCTGTCCTTAGGCCCTCCCCTGGCATCTAGACGACAGCCTGGTGCCTTGCCATGAACTCACACAAGCAGTCCCAGCCCTGGCAATTGTGGGTGTGTGTGTGGGCTGGGCTGGGGGATGAAGCTGAGGGGGGCCGGGGTGAAACCAGGGCAGCTGGGGGGGTGCAGCCTGGGAGGCCAGGGTGCAGCAGGGGCATCTGGAGGGTGGGGGGAAGCTGGGGGGCTAGAAGGGTGTGGCCAGGGTTTGCTTTCAGGGCACACCTGGCCTGGGTGACTTGACGGGAGCACAGCCGAGCCCCCTCTGGGGGGGACCCTGGAGGTTTCTGCTGCCGCTGCGTCCTCTGTGTCCACCACTGTCCGTGGCTCCCATGCCCAGGGCCGCAGACCTGGCACCGTCGACGCCCTGCTGCCCTCCAGTGGGAGGCCGGCCCCGGGAGCTTCCCTCAGCCTCATGGAGACCCTGCTCCTGGTCCTGCTCCCGGGACTGAGAGAAACTGGCGCACTGCCCTGACAGCAGTTGGCGTCCTGGAGAATGTGGGGTGCATCTCTGTCTGGGCTTGTCCCAAGGGTGTGGCCCCCACGGAAGGGCAGGTAGTGGACAGATGTGGGGCTGGTGACTGGCTGGTGTGTGACCCCAGGGAAGCTGTGGGGCCTGGGCCCCGGGTCTCTACAGGGCAGGGTTGTCTCAGGGACAAGGGGGACACTGCTGGCCATGGAGGTGGAACCGCGGTTCGTGGCCCCAGGGGAAGATCTGCAGCCTGATCCTGGGGGCCCCAGGGCAGGGTGCTTCTGGATCCTGGGAGATGGGCGGTGTTGGGTGGGCAACCCCGGAAGGGACGGGGCTGGGACAAGGAGTTGCGCTGCTTGGGCGTCCTGTGGACGCAACAGCAGCGGAGGCTCCGGCGTGGGAAGAGGCTGAGTGGAGCCAGGCTAGGGTCAGGTCCGGTCAGCCTGGGGTCAGAGCTGGGGCTCCATGGGGGTGAAGTAGGTGCAGAGGTCATGGGAGGTTAGTACCAGCATGCAGGGAGCAACCTCCAGAAGTTGAAATGCAAAATCAATAAGTGGGGTATTGATCCAGCCGGCCCGTTGTGGTGCTTGGGCCCTGCCAGGAGGCACGTACTGTATGAATAGATGTTCAGCAGACAGACGGCCACCAGGCTCCACCAGGGGAACCCGCTGTTGGCAGAGTAAGGCTGCTGCCATTCGAGGAGTCCCGGGGCGGGTGGAGCAGGTTGAGGCATGAGTGGGAGGCAGAAGGCATGGGAAGGCCATGGAAGATTCCGGAAGGCAGAGTGAGGAAGGGTGGCTCCTCAGGAGCTAACCAGGGATTGTGGAAAGAGGGACCTATGGGGACAGAGAGGTTCTGGGCCCAGAGAGCGAGGCCTGTCCTGGTGACAGGGGCGGGGACCCTGTGGCAGAGGCCCCGCAGCCTGGGAGGGATGGGGCGGGTGGGGGTGAGAGCCGGGGTGCGTGGGGTGGGCCAACGCCAAGTGTGGGGACAGGATGGTGAGGCTGTGGGATGGTGGACCAGGAGGGGAGGATGGCCTCCGTGCTGGGCCCTGGGGGCCCCTGGAGGAATTGGGACTGGGATGTGTACGCAAGCCCTGCTGAGCACCTGCTGGATGCATGGCCCCAGGCCCGGAGCCCCAGGTCACCTGTCTTGCCATGTCAGGATGACTTTACTGCTGTGTTTTCTCATAAAACTGGGTTCCCGTGGTGGGGGCGGCCAGGGGCCGGTTGGGGGGCAGTCGGGGGCTGGTTGGGGGCAGTCAGGGGCTGTCGGGGGGCAGTTGGGGATGGTCGTGTCTCACGATGCATGGGCAGGTACACAGACCTCTGGGCTTGGCAGGAACAGGTGAAGGGCTGTGTGCCTGGGCAACGGGGCTGGGAGAGCCAGCCCTGCAGGAGGCCACGGCCCAGTCCTTGGCCGGGACACCCCCGGGCAGAGGGCAGCTTGGCTCCAGGCCCTGTAACCACTCCCTTTGTGACCTCGTGTCGCCCCAGGGCATGCATGACCACGATGCTGTTCTATCGCTGACGAAGACCCCGGGTCGTAGAGCTCAGGCCACTGTCTGAGGCCAGAGCTTGAAGCAAGTTCATCTAACCCCAAACTGGGCTTCTAACCCCTGTGGCCCTGCTGCCCTCAGGCTGGACCTGCCCAATACCTGCCTGCTGACAGCGCCTCATGCCCTGCGGCCTTTTCACGTTTACGGCGTGACCTATGGCCCTCAGGACGGCACCCTGGGAACGGCTGCACAACTAGAGTCGCGGCCCCCGTGGAATAGATATGAGGACAGGGCCAGTTGAGGGATGTGTGCAAAGGCCCAGCCCATGTAGGGCAGGGTCTGGCCTGGAACCTGTTGCGGGGGGGGGGGGGGGTGGCGGCAGGCGCTGCCTGCAGGTGTTGACATGGGCCCGGATCCAGCACACCACCCTGGGGAATGGTCTGGGTGTGTGTGGTGCCAGGTGGGGGGCAGGGGGGGTTGGCAGTTCCTGAAACTGCTGTAATCCTGGTCGTAGCCTGGGGCCAGGTCCACAACTTCTTGGTGCTTCTCCTTCCTCGTCTATAAAACAGATATGGTAACGGTCGTTATGCCTTCAGGAGGATCAGGTGGGCATGTGTCAGGTGCCCACAACCATCTCAGCGCAGGGCTTGCGCTGGGTGGGTGAGAGCATCAGTGAGGTGACAAGGCGACGAGACCCCACGATGTGTGAGCAGGTGACCCGGCGGGACGTGGGGCGGGAGCCTGAGCATAGAGCCTGCGGCACCCTGGGCAGTCCCTGGCTGCAGCCCCAGCGCCTCGTCCTCATCCTTGGCAGCTTCTCAGGTCTCGGCTCCTTGTCCGTGGCTGTCATGGGCTCGAGGATCCCCCTTGCCGACTCTGTACTGTCTGCTCAAAGACACAGGGCACGGTGCCCGTTGCCAGGAGAGCCTGTCCCTTGGAAAGCAGGGCCGGGGGCGGCTGGCGGCCTGTGGTTGAGGACATCCCCATCTCTGAGACTGGGACGAGGGGCCGCACCCAGCCAGGGTGCAGCTGACCTGTGCGTGCTGTGCTTGGGCCTTCAGGGTGCTTGCTGAGCTTAGACTGGAGAAGGGCATGGGTTGAGACGGGGCTGTGGGCCTGGGGGAGTTGGAGACGTTACAGGGTCACAGACTTGGCATGAGAGCCCAGTCTTCCGCCGCCTAGTCCTGCAGACAAAGCTGCCCCTACCCCACTTGCACCCCACATCCTGGAGCTACCCCTTTGTCACACGGGCCAGTGACTGTAACCTGCTCATCAATGCACACCAGGACCTGTACCCACAGCCTCGTGGAACCCTCACCACAGCTTTGTAGTGTAGTGTAGACCTTGCTGCTCCCATGTTTCAGATGGAGACACTGAGGCTAGGAGAGGTTAAGTAACAAGGGGTGGCTTTCCTTTTCCTCCCACACACACTTCCTTTCAGGAAATTCCATTCCTGGAGGCGGGATTGGACACTGCAGTGGGGTCTTCGGTGTCGCTCGCACATGCCCCCTCATGTTGGGGCCCCATAGGGCACAGCACTCGTGCTTTCTCCTGATGGAAGTTTCCGGAACATGCTGCAGCTGTCCAAGAGCACACACCCCTTCCATGGCAGGAGTCTGTGGCCACAGGTAGGTTCACGGGGTGCGGGCTGCATGCTCACGGCCTTCTCTGCTTCTGCCCACAGAGGAGGTGGCCGAAGGGAAGAATGCCATCCTCATTGGGATGAGCCAGTGGAATTCTAATGACCTGGTGGAGCAGATGGAGACCATGGGGAAGCTGGAGGAGCATCAGGGTGAGACTCCGCTTCCCGGAGCCCCAGGCATGGACGTGCTGCGGGGGGATGGTGTGTGGGCGTCTGGGCTGGAACCCGCGGCTCTGAGGACAGTCACGGGTCTCTGGGCGCCTCCCCTGCCTGGATCCACGTCCCTGCAGGAACCTCGTGGGCACCTGTGTAAACACCTGAGCTTCTACCCTCTGCCCCCAGGGATGCAGGGGTGCAGCTGTGTCTTTGGAGGGCTGGGCCTGTGCTGTGGGGAGAGCTGCTAAGCTGGGGCGGCAAGTGCAGGAGTCTCTGGGGGTCCGTTCAGGAGGGTTTTCATGGGTGGGAGCAACCGGGAGCGCATCTGCAGACATGGCAGGCTGGTGTCTCAGGCTCCTGCCTTTGGGTGTGGAGAGCTAAAGTGACATGGTGATGTGTACAAGATGGAGGGGGGTCAGATGTGGCCCGGGGCCATCCCTTCCCTACCCTGTGTAGCACCCCTCCGGCTCCCTTCCCTCATTTCCCACAGTCATTCCTTCCTCCTGGGCTGGGCCAGGCCGTCCCCTCAGGGGGCGTTGGGCAACGTGGTCCCGCCTGGCCCAGGAGAAGGGCATTGGGTGGCAACCGGCTCAGTGCTGGTGACCTTCCTGGAACCCCCTCCCCCCCAGCGCTGTCCTGGGAAGTAGACGTGCCAGGGGGGTGACTGCTCCATTTGCAGGTGAAGAGCCCAAGGCTCTTGGAAACTGGGTCTTGCCCCAGGTCGTCAGAGCTACTGGCAGTGGGCACAGATCCCTGGGGTCCTGATTCCCAGCTGGATGGTGGTGGAGGTGTGTGTGGGGGGTCATGGTCATAAAGAAAGGCCCCAGGGCCACTGGCACCTTCACAGGGAGCTGGCCCCGGGACCAGTCCAGAGGCAAAGCCCCCATTGTCACAGCCCCGTGTCAACAGCCTAGCCCTTGGACAGCTCCTTCCTTTGTCCCAAACGCCGGGGGACCCAGGAGGGGTCAGCAGGTACAGGTGCTTCCCCACGTTGGTGCTCCATGGCAGTAAGACAAACCCAGATGTGCCCTGACCTCCCATCAGGCTGTCCTTTCCCTACCCCCTGCCCCGCGGATGGAGACTCGGCACAGTGTGAGCTGGGGAGGGGTGAGGCAAGGTGGGCAGAGCCAGGATGGCCAAGGAGGCTGCAGAGGGGAGCTTTGGGCACCGTCTGGGGCCTGGGAGTGGACTTGGCTCTGCAGCCATGAAAGCCAATGGCACCTGTGTGTTCGTGGGCAGAGTGGGGCTGGAACCGACCTTGTGAGGATCAGGGGAGCCAGGAGGGCCCTGTGCATCCAGGGCCCATCATCATCACCCCAGGATGCATGCGGGGCATCCCCATGGCTGGATCCTTGGGACAGCACTTTTGGGGTCTCCCTGGGCACAGGGGGCAGCAGGAGAGTGCGGGGGGATGGGGGGGGCGAGGAGGAGGAACCTCTGGCCCCTGGGAGCTCATGATGGGCTTCAGCCCTAAGGGCCATCCACCACCACACAGGCTGCCCCGTGTGTAGTGTGGGTACAGCCCCAGATGGGGCGCAGAGCCCAGGAGTAGGGTCCTGGCCGGGGCTACCTGGGGCAGGAGGAGGCTGAGCGGGGGGATCTAGAGGGATGCCCTGGGCATGAGTCTGGACAGCAGAGGGACCGAGAGCAGGTCAGGAGAAGGCTGCCCTCGAAACTGGCCCTTGGGGTCCCCCCCGACCCCAAGTTTGTGTCCAGGCACAACCTTGTCCCCAGGCTGCTGACTCAGCTCAGTAGCCACCTACTGAGCTCTGCCTGAATGTCCCAAAGCTGCTTTTTGCTCTCCGTGTTCCTGACGGCACATGATGTGTAACATATACTCTATACACATGCTCGCACGATGTATGACGATGAATGATATATAAGATGATATAACGTGTCCTATGTATGCACATACAGGTACGATACATGATGTATGATATAGTATCTACTCCCTATGCACACATGACACGCACGACATAAGTACGATGTATTCGTGCATCCGTGTACAGTGATTACATATAATGTGTATGTATTTATATACACACACATACACATGTACACACATAAACACACACGTGCATTTTCTTTTTATCATTTTTTCAAGTATTTCTTTCTCCATTGCCCCTATCAGACTTGCCTCAGGGACATGCCACACCTGGGTCTCATCTTGCCCTTCCTGCTCTTCCTTTTGGGTCCTTGTTGGCCTCTGGAAATTTCCTCAGCTCCAACCCAATCAGTAGCTGCCCAGTCCTGTCTGCTCCAGCTGTTGCCATTTGTCTGGTCAGCTCTTCTGTGGAGTCTGTTTTGGGTTTTCTTGGGAGGAGGGTTTTGCTTTTGTGTATGTGTGTGTTTAAACAATCCTCTTTTCATTTTCGTGTGCTCTGGGTTTTTCCCCATAACAACCTGATATCAATCCGTAGGTGCCATGGATTCGCCCCATGCTTTGCAACATTTCCATCTCCCCTGTTCTTTTAAGTTCCAGTCTCCTAGTGGGTTGGACATGGATGGAAATAGACCACACGCACCTTGGTGTGAGCTAATTAGCCAAAGATCCCTGAGTGAGATTCTGGCACAGAACAGGAAGGTGCTTGCATCCAGCGCTCTTGGGAAGCTCGGAGCTGCCATGAACAATTGTCCTAGGAAAGTAGGTCCTGCCGAGTTTGCCTTAAAACCAAGGCATGATTCACGCACCATACAACCCACCCTCTTCAAGTGCTTTTTTTTTTTAAATTAGAGAGCGAGAGCACAAGCAGGGGGAGTGGCAGGTAGAGGGAGAGGGAGAAACAGGCTTCCCACTGAACAGGGAGCCCAATAAGGGACTCGATCCCAGGACCCCGGGGATCATGACCTGAGCTGAAGGCAGATAGATGCTTAACCAACTGTGCTACCCAGGCGCCCCTTCAAGTGCTTTTTGTATGCTTTGTATATTTGTGGGGCTGAGCAGCCATCACTTGTACTTGGTTCTGGAATGTTTCATCCCCCCAAAAAGAAATCCCGTACATGTCAGCAGTCACCCCTCAAAACCCCAGAGTTTTGTAGAAGCGGAATCCAACAAGAAGTGGCCTCTTGTACCTGATGTCTACCTTGCGTCCTGTTTCTGAGACCTGCCCAGGCTGTAATGCAAACCAGGACGTCATTCCATTTTGTGGCACAACAACAGAACAATGGATAACTCTTATCCATTCATCAGCTGGTGCACATTCGGGTCATTTCCACTTTTTTTTTTTTTTTTTTACTCTTATGAGTAACGCTGCTATGAGGTTTCTGTGGGGACACACCTATAGTTCTCTTGGGCGCACACCCAGGAGTGGGAGAGCTGGGGCCACGCCACGTCCCCTTCTCCCCAGTGTTGTTCCAGGGTTCAGACTTCTCTACATTCTCAACAACACTCGTCATTGTTGTTTGATGAAAGCTGCACTAGCGGTGTGACACAGTGGATCAGGTTATGGTTTGGGTTTGCGTTTCTCCAGTGACTGAGGGTGGTGAGCACATTCATGTGATTATTGATTGTTGCTCATCGTCTTTGAAAAAATGTCTGTTGAAGCCCTTTACCAGTTTTAAAAATCAGGTTGTTTGTCTTTCTCTTGGTGAGTTGTAAGTGTTTTTTATATATTGTGGATGTTAGGCCCTTATCAATGATTTGATTTACAAATGATACTTTTCCCCATTCTGAGGGTGTCTTTTCACCTTCTTGATAATTCCCTTCAGTATGCAAAGTCTTAAAATTCTAATGAGGCCTGACTTAACCTATTTTTGCTTTTATTGTTACTGTGTTTGAGGCCATGTGTGAGAAACCATCAACTAATACAAAGTCATAAAGATTTACCCTTTGTTCTCCCTTAAGAATTTATAGCCTAGCTCTTAGGTTTAGGTCTTTGATCCACTTGAGTTCATTTTTATGTGGAGTGTGAGGTAGGGGTTCCATTTCCTTGTTGTGCCTTCAGGTAACCCATTGTACTGGAACCACATATTGGAAAGACAATCCTTGGATTGTCTCGGCCCCCTTGTCAAAAACCAATGGATCAGAAACATGGATTTATATCTAGACTTTCAATTCCATTCCTTGGGCCAGGACCACATCATCTTGATTACTGTGCACTTGCAGAAAATGCAGAAGTCCATGGGCTTTGCTGTGCTTTTGAGCATTTGTTTCGGCCATTCTGTATTCCTTGTATTGCCACATGAATTTTAGAATCAGCTTCTCAGTTTCTGCAAAAAAAAAAACCAATAAAACAAAACAAAAACCAGAAAAAAACCAAAAAAACAACCCAGCTGGGATTTTACGAGGGTTTGTGTTGAATCTGTAGATCAATGTGGGGAGTATTCCCATCTTAACAATATTAGTCTTTCAATCTGTGAACACGGGACATCTTTCTATTAGTTTAGGTCTTTAATTTCTTTCAGTGACATTTTACAGTTTTCAGGGCACACATCTTGCACTGGTTTTGTTGAATTTATTCCAAAATATTTTATTCTTTTCAATGCCGTTGTAACTAAGTTATTTTCTTAATTTAATTTACGGATCACTTGTAAGTATATAGAAACGCAGTTGGTTTTTGTGTATGATCCCATATCCTACACCTTTGCCGAAATCATTTATTAAGTTTATTTTTGGGGAATAAGGATTCCTTAGGATTGTCTATGTACAAGATCATGTCATCTGCAAACAGGTTGTTTTGCTTCTTCCTTTCCAACCTGGGTGCCTTTTATTTCTTTTTTATGTCTGAATTCCCTGCCTGGATTCTCCAGCATAACACTGAATAGAAATGGTGAACGCTGACGTCTTGTCTTGTTCCCAGTCTTTGGTGGCATTTTCAGTTCTCCACCATTAAATATGGTGTCCGTTGCAGGTTTTTTGTTTGTTGCTTTTTCTGTAGTTGTCATTTACCTGGTCAAGTCAGTTCTCCCCTATTCTGGGGTTGATCAGCGCTTTTATTGTGAAAGGGTGTTGGATTTTTGCCAGATGCTTTTTCTGCACCTACTGAGATGGTCCTGTGGGGTCCTGTTTCCTGTTACTACAACTGATTCTCGTATGTCAAACGGCTTTGCATTCTTGGGGTGTATTTCACTTGGTCCTTGACACACTGCTAATCTCTTATGAGCAGAGTTTACATGTGTCTCTCTGAATAATTTATACCAATAATCTACAAGCTGTCACTTAAGGGGCTGCTCACAGGCAGGGCTCTTCCCATCTCAGAAACAAACTGGATGTCATCAAGGCCACATTCTTATTGACAGGAGGGATGCCAGCACCACCTGGGCGGCCCCGACCAACTTCTCAGCCTTCACTTTTCCAGAAAGCTCTTTTATTTTTCCCCATCGTTCCTCCTGGACTCTGGCTTGTGCCCTACCTAGATGATGTGGTTCCTGGACCAGGAGCCTCAGCATCCCTTGGAAACTTGTCAGAAATGTGAGCTGGGAGCCCTCTCCCAGGCTCGCGGAGCCTGTTTTTTTTTTTTTTTTAAGATTTTATTTATTGATTCATGAGAGACACAGAGAGAGGCAGAGACACAGGCAGAGGGAGAAGCAAGCTCCCTGCGGGGAGCCCGATGCAGGACTTGATCCCAGGACCCCGGGGTCACGCCCTGAGCAGAAGGCAGATGCTCAACCGCTAAGCCCCCCAGGTGCCCCATGACAGATCCTGCTTTAACTGCCCTCAGGTCATCCTGGTGCTCACTGGAGCCTGAGGGCTGTGCATCACTGTTGCCACTGACTGGCCCCAGGGTCCGCAGATCCATTTTCCTGGACTCCCCTCCCCCCGGGTCACCGAGTTTGGCATCTTCCTTCAATGCAGTTGGTGTTCCTGGGGATACTGGGTGCCACAGTCCACATACCCCCCTTCGTAGCTACGCTTCCTCCGCCCTTGGCCTGTGTCTGGGTGATGTGATGCATCTGTGTGCTGCCAACGGCTGTCATCTAATTATTGGGGAGGGCAGAGCATGCGGCTGGGTGACATTAGCTTCTGGTTTCTTGGTATTTTTAGCTTCCCAGGGTGTCCTGTTCCTCAGACATTCGGCCCTCCCCGCACCTGAGGGTAGATGCCTCTGCTTGGTGGAAGCAGGCGCTGGGGGGTGGGGTGGGGTGGCACAACCTGGCAGTTCTAGAAGCTTCCTTGGCCCCTGGATTTTCCTTCAGGGGCCCGTCCCCCCCCCCCCCCCCCCGCCGCGAGCTGCCTGTCCTCTGGCCACAGGCTTTCCCCTGCAGGGTGCAGGTGGCAGCTTCTGCTCGGCTCCATCGGCAGTTGGCCTAATGGACATTTGACTTTTGTGGCCATCCAGAGCTCTGCACTTACCAGTGTCTCTCACTGGATTCCGTGCTCTGCCGCTGACATCTTAAAATCTGTGATGATTTTGAACTAGGGCCCCCACATGCAGTCTTGCTTGAGAAAGATGCGACGTGAAAATCTTGCATAGGCTCTGCAAACCCTGTGGCCGGCCCTGCCCTCCTCCACCCTTGCCCTCTGCCGTCTGCCCTCTGGGGGACACCCAGCAGCGCCTGGTCTGCTGGGGCACCCCTTCTTGTCTTATGATTCTGCTTGAGACCAACTCCTGGAAGTGTATTCGGGGTCATTTTCTAGGGATTTGGGGCGGGAGGAATAGGCTGGATCATGTTGTCGGCTTACTCGCCCTATTCCACCCGCTGTGCTGCAAATCCAGTCACTTGGTTCTGCCGTGAGGCCAGCAGGTGGGAGGCACCTTCCGCGAACAGACGCTTAAACCTGCCAGCCGGGCCCGCAGGCCAGGAGTCTGCTGCTCACCCTCCTTCTCGCTGTTACAATTGTCCGGGGGATGGTAAGTTCGCCGTGGCTGCATGTCCACCGTGGGATGGTGTGGAGGGGCCATCGTGGACCCTGTGTTCCTTGTCTCCAGGCACCCCCTGCTCTCCTGCTCACCCCACGTTCTAGCCAGAGCCGCCTGGGGGCTCTTGCTGAGAGTGGAGCCGGTCGTAGGGGAGCCTTCCCGGTGCCTGGCCTGTTCCAGACAGCCTCCCCACAGCCTTGCCTTGGCTGAGGGTGTGCTTCGCCTCCCTCTCGGGACCTGAGCAGGGAGGGCTCACCGCGCGTCCATGCCTTCCCTCCCCTGTTGTGCATTCAGCTCACGTGCACTGGTCGACATACAGACATGCTGCCAGCTGCAGGGGATGGGGTGGGGCAGGCGGGTGGGGTGCAGCTGGAGCGGCGGGGTGTGGCAGGGTGCGGGGTGTGGTCGGGGCAGCGGGATGTGGTAGGAACCATCCAGTGCGCCGATCACCTGCAACAGTGGGAGCAAGGCAGCGGCGGTGGAAGGGTCAGGAGGCCTTGCTGGCTCTGGGCACCCTGAGGGCGCGATAGGCAGAGGGAGCAGCAGGTGCGAAGATGCACAGGGGGGTCGGGAAGTGAGGCACTCTGGGCAAGCACATGGGGGTTCATGTCCCCTGAAGTCAGGGTGCAAGGTGCTGGGGCTGGTAAGGGCCCGAGATCTTGGGGAGGCAAGAGGGGGCGCAGCAGCGGGGAGCTCGGAGTGGTAAGGGGTCCTGGCTTTCTCAGGGGTGCCCTGGGGACCCAGAGAGTAGTTGGAGCAAGAGCCACCATCTCGAAAGATCTTTCTGGAAGCCCAATGAGAAGGCGATCAGAGGCCACAGAAAGGTGTACAGGGGAGCAGGGGTCCAGGTGGGAGGTCATGAGGGAGCCCCGACCCTGCAGCTTGGGGAGCTGGAGGCTGGGTGTGTGGGGAGCTCCCTGAGCAGGAGGGTGGGGGCCTTTCTACCCCAGGATCCCAGCTGCTGCCCCCCTGTTCCTTGGGAAGGATATTTCTGGCACCTTCCTCCCTGAGGCCCCCTATCCCAGTGCTTGCCCCACCCTCCTTCCCCAGGCCTCAGCCTTTGGTGGACGTGATCCCCTGGCTCCTGGGACGGGGCGGGGAGCATGGTGTGTTGGGGAGGTGGGGAGTGGGGAGCCGCTGGCGGGTCTGCATCTGTAGAGAGGAGATGTGACCCAGAGGCATGGGACTCTGCGGGCTGGGGACCCGCAGGCCCTGCCCCCATTCCCTCTGTGTTCTCCATGCCCTCCTTGCCTCCATGCCCTCTGTCCCCCCCATGGCCTGTCCTGTCTGCAGGAGTTCCTGGCAGTGTCCACAGGTGAAGAAGGCCAGGCAGAGGTACAGCCGGGTGAGCAGGCCCAGGGAGCACAGCCCAGCCTCCCACTGTGGGCCCCAGATTCCTCCCTCCCTCCCTCCCCAGCGCCTGCTGTCCCTAGGGTCCTGGGGTCGGAGGGTGGGATCCGAGGCATCTCCCCGCCCCTTGAGGCCCCATTCAGGTTCAGGCTTCACTGCCCATGTGAGTGTGGGGCAGCCCAGCTTCCCTGGGACACCCGCTCTTGTTCTCCTGTCCCCATCCCAGGAGCCCCCTTGGGGCAGGAGCGGGGGACGTGCTAGACAAGTTGGGAAGCTGCTGCTTGTGGGTGGCTCACCTGGATGGCCTCCTGGGGGTGGACGTCCCTCACCCAGTGGGGACCGCGTGTGTCCTGGGGACCCTCCCCTGGCCTTTTCCGGCTCTGCACCCCTGGCTCCCGCTCCAGTGCACACAGACATTGTCGCCCCTGAAATTCTGCCTGGGACACAAGTCACACTCCCTCTCCGGTAATGAACGTGTTTTGTGGTGTCAGTGGCTTGTAAGCTGCCGGGTGAGTCACCCCTAGGCCTGGGCAAGGGAGCAGGACGGTCATGAATCAGACCCTGCTGGTCCCTCAGCCATGCATGGCCCGTTCCCTAAGGGCCTGGCCCCCAGCAGTTGCCCAAGAAACGCCAACGGCCCTTGTGCTGCAGTCAGGGCTCTGAAGGGCCCTGGGTCTGGGGCTAATGTCCCTCTTTCTGAATAAGGTCATCCTTGGATCTGTGGGATGGGGAGCGAGCGCACCTGGGGGGCAGGCGCTGGCCCGGAAGGTGTCAGTACCCGTGTTCCTGCCCACACTGCTCCCAACTCCAGCATACAGGGGCCCCAGAGACCTTGGGCTGGCTGTGAGCATGGGGGCCTGACCCAGGTCCCTGCCCGTTGACCCAGACTTCTCTGTGGACGTGTGATTTTAAGGAAGTCATTAAAAATGCACGAAGACAGGCACCTGGGAGGCTCAGCGATTGAGCATCTGCCTTCGGCTCAGGGTGTGACCCCGGGGTCCTGGGATTGAGTTCTGCATCCCCAAAGATGCCGGTTGCCGTCATAACTAGGACGGTGAGATTTTGCAGCTTCCCCCCAGCGGTGTCATTGTGAAATCCCCCCACCCCCGCGGAATGTTATCCTAACAGCCCTGGGAGGATGGCCCTGGGTGCTGGCACTTGGTCGCGCAATGGTCTACACTGGAACCAGAAGTATGGGAAGGGTACTTTGTGCTTCGTTGTTGCCCCGGGTCCGCGTAGGGAGCTCAGAGGCAGGGATGGGAGCCCCGAAGTTCCGGAAGATGCGTGTGGAGCAGGGCCCAGGAGGCCGGGAGTCCTACAGTTGTGTCGTCCTCCTTTGCGTCTGCTGGCGTCTTCCATGTTTGCAATGAGGAGTTTCTGTGACTTTTGTGGCTGTGGAAAATGGCCTCTCGTGTGTGTGTGTGGGGGGGGGCGGGGGGGCTACCCCAGCTACCTCCGTAGAATCCACGGGCCTGGCCTGGGTTGTGCGCAGTGTGGGGAGGGGCACAGAGAGTGTGAGCACCATTCCAGGCCTGGGGACGGCCCTTCCATGGTGGGGCCCAAGTCTCAGACACAGACCCCATAGGACTTGGAGACCCCCTGGGTGGGGACAATGGGAGGAGAGGGGAGGGCCGGCTGCCCCCACCCAGGCCAGGGAGCTGCAGCCCCATGAAGGCGGGAGGACAGGCACACAGGCCCCGCTCTCCCTGGCTCCGGGTGTGCTGGGGCACGAAGGGCCCCCAGTGTGGTGAGTAGGTGAGAGGCCCTGCCCACCCCAGCTCTGGGAAGGGCTGCCTGGCGACATGGTGGGGACCTGCTCACGCTCCTTCTCTTTCTCTGCAGGAGATGGGAGCACCCCGTGCACGTCCAGCACCCTCCAGGAGAAGCAGCGTGAGTGATGGCCGACCCCTGGCTGGCTCGGCCTCCTTGGGCCTGCCCCCCATCAGTTGAGCTCCTTGGGGCCCCAGGTTCCCACGTGCAGGGCGGCTGGGGGGGCTGTTGTGCCCAGAGGCAGACGGGACCCTGCAAAGCCTCATGTGTTGCTTGTGTGTAGTGGAAAGAGGATAGGAAGGCAGTGCAAACCCTCGGAGCCTTCGGGGCAAGTGCTTTTGGGTGACTTGGCCTTGGGCCACTGCAGGCACTGACATGGTGCTGGGTCATAATACCTCCCCCGCGCACCCCCACCTCCAGGTCCTGGTCTCTAGGTCCGTCGGGACTTCCTGGAGGGGGTGTCCGCGGCCAACGCAGGATGTCCTCCCTGGATGCCCAAGGGGACTTGGGGGGTGGCTTCAAACAAGTGCTTGGTGTTGGCAGCATTGCTCATCAGGAGGCTAGGGTTGGGGGCCCAGGCATGTCTAGGGGTGCAAACGCTCAGAACCCCTCAGTGTCTGTCCTGCTGTTTGGATCTGTGGCTGAGGCTTCGGGGGCCCAGCGCAGCTGCCCACTACCCAACCCAGGCCCGTCTATCGCTGACCTGTGGCAGGTGTTCCAGCGCCCAGGGGCAGGTGCAGACAAGGCCCGTCAGGGGCCGGGGGGCCTGGGTGCCTCTGCTGAGGGCTCCCCCAAAGCCAGGCCATGAGTGCAGGGGCTCGGTATGAGCGTGGCAATGTCCCAGAGCACCCAGATTTCAGCCCGCGTAGGCGGCTAAGTGAAGACCCGGACACATTGGTGGGTTCACGTTTCCTGATGGGGGGGCAGCAGGGAAGTGGCGGGTTTGGCCACAGGGCAGATGGGGCGTCAGGGGGCCTGGGTCGTGTTTTCCACGGGAAGGTGGCAGGGGTCAGGAACTGCTCCCTTGAGAAATGCGGGCAGCAGGGTGCGGGGGGCTCTCTGCAGCATACCTGGAGTCCTTGGGGGCAGCGGAGGACTGGCACCTGCGTGGAAGAACCCTTGAGCTTCGAGATGGGGCGTTTGCAGGTGGAAGGTTCGTTCGTGTCTGGGAATATCTGGCAGTCGCGGGATGGCGTCTCCACACAAGATGTCCCAGGGAGGGAACACATCGGGGCCGACCCCATGTTGCCGCTCCTAGACCCGGCCAAACAAAATGTGTGTTTCTGTGAAGGTGAAATCTCCTTTATTTGGCTTGTAAACCGAGGTCATGGATTTTATCTGGATTCTGTTACCAGCTGTTCCCACGTCTGCTTCCTCAGGATCTTCTCACTCAGGGGGACGAGACAACAAGGTTGCGGGGCCAGTGGGCTGAGTCTGAGGCTAGCATGTGGATGGTGAGGACTCCTGAGAACGTGGCTGACTGGCAGTCCTGCTGTTCATCCAGCTGCTTACGCCGTCCACAAAGCTCGGCCTTTGGACACTTCTGTTTGCCTGAGACAATGGAGGTCGTGCGGGGTCCAGCTCTGTTTGCTCGCGATCCCGAATCAGCAAGTACACAACCAGGGCGTTGGTGAGGTGCTTGGCCGTCCATGGTGTGCATGCATGTGCCTCGCAAGAGACAAAGGAGGAGGTGATACGAGGTGCCCCAGATCAGGACACTCAGGACATTCCTGCGAGCTCCCCACAGTCCCCGAGCCTCTGCGCCCTGACCTGCCTGGCCAGCTCCCCGACATCCCGGAGCTCCCATTACTCGGCTGTGGAGACGTGACCCGAGGCCTGCCCCAGAACAGAGCGCGAACGGCCTTCATGTATTGTTGGCCCTCCATGAGCCTGGCTGCTGGCTCAAGGTCGCTCAGAACTCCATGTGCTCAGGGCTCTGCCCATCCTGTGACCGCTGGGTTGGCCCTGCGCAGGGATGCGTCCTCCTGGGCCCCACGGACATGTGTGGGTGGCACGTGTGGCAGGTGCTGCCCAGGAGTCCTCCCTCTCAGACGCCGAGTGGCCTCCATCCTGCAGCAGCAGGGACAGCCTGGCGACCTGCAGCCTCCACCCGGCCCGTTACTTGTCACCAGATCATTCCGTTTGTTCGAGGAGCCCAGGGGAGCCCCCGGGTCATGGTGCCAACCTTCTGGCGCCCTCTGCATTCCTGTCGCCTCCGCGCCTCCTGGTCCCCTCTGCCAGTTCACGCTGCTCCAAGCCCAGTGACACTCACGGCTTCTGGCCTGACCTGGGCCTGCCCCAGGCTCCCCGTCTGCTCCCCGGCGCTGCTCCTGTTCCTCCTCCAGGCTGAACAGTGTCATTTCCACAAACTCTAGCCAGAGACCTGGAGGTCCTGCCTGGCTTCTGTCTCCCAGAACTGCCAGCCTCCACACTGGCCTCCACACGGGCCTCCACGCTGCCCTCCTTGCCTTCAAGCTCTCCAGCTCCACCTCTCCCTCCCAGGTGGGACTCTGAACTTTGTCTTGTCCCTGGACCAATACCCGACCAGAGTGCAGGCTGAGCGCCAGGCCTGGTTCCATTTGAACCCGGGTGGTCTCTGTCCCAACCCAGCCTCCACGTGGCCGCCTGCAGAGCCCGGCTTTGTGGCTAGTCCTGACCCACCCTGCTCCTGTCCCCAGCCTGGCCCCATGGCCGCCTCACCTGTTACAGCTGTGGCCACCCGGAAGGGACAGAGAAGATGTGGATGCCGAGCAGCGCCCGCCTCCCTATGCGTAGGGCCTGACCTCGCATCCCACCACCTGGAGCCTGTGACCAGACCAACCAGTGGCTCAGATGCTGGGACGGCCAGCAAGGACCTCCTGTCCTGGGCGCCTGCCTGCCACCCCCCAGCAGCCCCAGGGGCACTAGCCCCTGCCCACAGCTGGCCCGCGGCCCCGCAGGGATCGGGTGTCTTTTCCCAGCCATGTGGGCGGCCTGCGCGCAGCTGCAGACAGGCTATATTTAGCCTCAGCTTTAGTGAGCTCAGGGTGGCAGACGGCTGCCTGGGGGGGCCCCTTCCGCGTGTCTGTGCCGACGCGGTCTGTCCCTGTGTACATGTGCGTGTATGCCCATGCGCTTGTGCGTGCTCCTCGGCGTGCACATGAACACATCTATGTTGTGCCGGGGGCATCCTCAGCCTCCTACACCGGGGCCTGAGTGGGAGCAAAATACTTGTTCATGACTTTGTTTGAAAAATACTTGGTGAGCATCTTCCCTACACTGGCATCTGGACAGCCTTTGGGGACTATGTGGAGCGTGAACAAACCCTGTCCCTGGCTGGGGGACACAGGGCACAGCTGGGAGGATGGAGGAGTTGATGAGTGCAGACACCACAGAGCCGACACTATGAGGCTGGGTCCCAGAACAGAGAGCCTCCGTGCTTTTGCGAAGAGGAGAGGGAGGCTGGAAGCCCCGCCCCCCCGCCCCCCTGCCCCCCCCCCCCGGGTGGGGGTGAGGGGTGGGGGTGGGAAGGACCACTGAGGCTTCAGGAGCAGCATGAAGAAGAGTCGGGGCTTGGGGAGCAGAATGTGCAAAGACCCCATGGTGAGAGGACGAAGGAGAGGCTCGAGAACCATCCTGCGGCCTAGTGCTGGAGCTCAGGGGGGAGGTGAGTGGAGGGGAAAGCAGAGGAGAGGCTAGTGTGGGGCCGGGGCCCAGGATCGTTGTGCAGCACGCAGAAGCTGGCCCACGACTTCGTCAGAGTTCCAGCAGGAGAAACAAGGCCTGCCTGGACACGGCATTGAATGGGAGTCCAGGGAAAGGACCTTGCTTTCGGGTTGCAGACACCCTGGGGCCTGGGGCCCGGCCTGGGCGGCTCCCACCCGTGCAGCCAGGTGGTCCCACATCCTGGGCCCTCGCGGTTGGTCGTCCATCCTCCAGGGGTTGCGGGGTCTCTTTCTAGCCTGAGACCATCTCTGGTTTTCTTTTGGGAACAAAAGAGTGTCTAGAAACAAAAGCCAGGAAGCCGCTACATGGAACCCAAGCAACCCCAGCAGTGGGATAATAGGAATTAGTGACTCAGAAGAGGAGGCGCTGCTACACGGGCATCAGAGGAAAGTCTCATGTTTAATCCGACTCCTGAGTAGGCCGTGCCCGTCAGCAGCGTGACTTCTACCAGGACGAAGGTGCTGCGCGCCCTCCTGCCGCCCCGTGGCCTGCCCAGCCCCTCGCCGGGAGCACCGGGCACTGGTTCCTCCCTGCACACACGCATCCCACAAATACCCAGGTGTCTGCGTGTTTTTACGCCGGTGGCGCCCGCACTGTCCTGCCCCCCTGCTGGTCTCGGTGATCGTGTCTCCAGGTTATTTCAGCATCTCACTAGGTTTGGCAGCCCAGTGGCCTCGGGAAGGCTGTCCTGTGTCGCCACCGTGGCTGTGAGAACTGGGTAGCAGTGTCCTGGGGGGGGGGCATGCAGCTTGCTTCCTGTGTCTGCAGCACGAGTGGTGCAGCTGGGTCTAGCATGGTACGAGCGCCTTCCAGCTTGGGTCCGGGGTGTCAGGGGCACTCTGTGCTCCGTGTTCCAAGTGCCCCCGACTGCAGCCATGGATGAGCAGCGGCTGCTCCCCGATAGCCCGGGCGGCCATGTGATGCTGACCTGGGGGTGAGATCAGCGGGCATCCTCTGGTTTGGTTTCCAAGGCCAGGTACCCGGGCCAGTGTATAAGTGCCACATGCTGTCCTTTTTCTGGAACCTGCCGGGGGTCAGCGTGCAGGCAGGTGGGTATGGGTAGGACGCAGTTGATTCCCTTGGCCTGTGCCGGCCTCCCCGTAGGGCCCAGGTTGGCGGGGGTGGATGGCAGTTCCTCCCTGTGGGCAGGCCGCACCCTGTAGGCATCGGGAAGAGCAGCTTCGGCCTCAGGAGGGTGGATATGCCCGGCCTGGAACTTGAGTGCACCTCCCCAGCCCTGCACTTGCGCTTGCAGGACCCCCCAGGGATGAACACGGGGGGGGGGGGGGGGGGGAGCCGGAGACGCTGGGGGAGGAGGCAAGGCAAACACAGCAGGTGCCCAGCCCTTCCCAGGGCCCTTCCCAGGGCAGGAGGGTCTCTAGCAGCCTTGCGTTGGAAACCGCCTCAGGCTGGACTTCGGGTGGTGCTGCTCCTGGCCTGGGCCACGTCCACCCACGCAGTGGCCCCTGGGAGCTGCCCCCATGCTCACAGGCAGCGGTCAGGCCTCAGGGTGGGCCAGCGCCTCTGTGGGGGACTGACTGTCCCCCTGGGCACTGAGCCTCTTAGCAGGTGAATCCAGGCTGATGGGATGGGTTCTGACTTTGCAGGGGTTAAGTTGTCACAGCAGGGACCCCATCCATCCCCGCAGCCTGACCTGCGCCCCCCTCCCTGGTGTCCCCCTGCCCAGCTTGTCCAGCCTCCCTCCGGGCCACCATGGGTCTCTCCAGAAGCCGCCTCACCTCGCTAGCTGGGCCCTGCCCTCCGTCCTGTGACCCGAAAGCAGCTCCTGGGGATGTGCAGGGCTACCACGTCCCCTCAAGCCTGCCCTTCCCCAGACAGGGACCCCCTTCCACCACTTTCCTGCCCAGTCACTGGGCTCACTGAGCCCCCTAGTGGCCGGAGCTGCAGGCATGTTTCCTCCTCATTCTGAATGAAGACCCCAGCACCTGCCCGCAGAGCTGCCCCCTTCCCAGCCTAGGTTGTGTCACGTGACCCCAGGCCCTTTGAGCTCCTCAGGCACCTGGACACACGACACACATTTGGGCCCTGGCCAGGGGAGCAGGAGGCCACTGTGATGTCCAGTTGGCTTTGTGACCCAAATGTGGGATTTTGATTCACTCATCCTGTTTCACCATTGTTGCTCCCTCACAGGCCTTCCTTTTCCCTTTCATCCCCCCCACCCCGAGCCTGTCCTGCCTCCCTCAGCTCCAAGGGCAGGGATACACTCAGTCTTATTTGTGGTGCTTGCACTTGGTGAAGTGGGGGCTGTGGCTCCGTGTGAGCCTGACAGCTGCCCGTGGATGCATGCGTGCTCGCTGGACCACAGGGAATCTGGGCTCCCCTGAGAATGAGAAGAAGTCAGAAACAACCACCTGTCCCACCATGCAGACAACACCTGCCTCTGACAGGGGTGCTCATCCTTGTCCTGGTCCCTGTCCCCGTCCCTGGACCGTTTCCATGCTTGTCCTTGGCGTGGCACCTGTCTGTGTGTGGCCACTGGGGGGTCAGGGCCACAGACCCCCCACGTGCCAGGGAACGAGGCTCTGGTTTGTCGCCGACACTCCCACTGCACATCCCACTTCCCACCCAGAGCAAGTTGCAGACCTGTGGAGGGAGTTCACCCCTGGAATCCGCCTGCATGTGGGCTTCAGTGTGTTTCAGAGGATGGGGCACTGAGTGGGTCCTTCGCGGGGACAAGCCACGTGCTCATGGGCTGGGCCTGGCTCTGCTCCCTCGACAGTGGGGGTGGCAGGTGCGGGGGTGCAGGGCAGGTGGGGGCGGCGGCCAGCGTCAGGGGGCAGACATGGTGGACCCCACCGCGAGTCGGGTGATGCTTTGCTCCGTGGGCCATGCGCATGGGTGCTGACCTCGGCTTCCACCTCAAGAGCAGAGTGGCACTTGGGTAATTAGAGGGATGATGGTGGTTCATGCCTCCCGAGGTCGTGATTCAGCGGATATGCCCTGGCTCTTCAGCTGGCAGGAGGTGCCTTGGGGGCGAGGTGGGCCAGCAGGGGTGCGGGGCGGCACAGTGGTTACAAGACACAGTCCCAGGAACAGCCGTGGGCTCACCCCACCCCACCCTGGGGTGGCCTCAGTTACCTGGCGGGCGGGAATGTCTGCTTCTTGGAGCAGCAGAAGGCTTGAGGGCCTGGCCCAGGCTGGGGGGCCTCGAGGCTGCCTCTGTGGGCCAGACACATATTCCCCCTGGGCTCCTTGGGTCCTGTTAGCCCATCCTCCAAGGCCAGACCGAGCTCTGCGGGTCAGGCCTCCCTGCCTTCCCACCCTGGGAGCAAAACCTGTGTGGCTTCTGCTCACAGAGGGGAGCCAGACCGTCACCCTCGGTGGGGGAGGCGTGGGGGCGCTGGGCTGCTGGCGGGGCCTGAGGACGCAGTGCCCTTGGTGTGAATGGTCAGTGAGGGTGCAGGATCAGCCCCACCCGCCGAGGGCACAGCACCCAGGTGACCACAGGGCCCTCATGTCTTCCTGCCGCTTATTTGTGGGCTTGCGATGCTAATTGGTAGCAATGCAGTCGGAGCCCATGGTCACACCAGGGCTCAGGGTGGCCACGACCCTGTCACCCGCGGCCCCACAATGCCTGCCATGGCCCTTGGGCTGGCCTGCTGCACTGCCCGCCCGGGCCTGACCGGAAAACTGAGTCCTGCTCGCACAGCTGCCAAGAGCAGGACTTGGGCTCATGCACCCTTGCCTCAGAACAGCTCTGTCCTACCTCGGAAGTGAGGTGTCGCCCAGTCCCCGCCAGGCCTGGAGCCACACATGGGGCCCCATGCATTGCAGAGCATGGCTGCTGTGCCCTGGGGGGGTCTGCGCTGGGCACCCTGCCCACCACTCTTAGGGATGCCAGTCAGGGCGGACTGTGTGAGCGCAGCCTCCGGGGGATTGTGGTGTCGCCCCCTGCAGCAGCAGGGCAGGGTCCTCCGGTAGATATGGGGCGGGCATGTGGGCTCACTCGGCCTCACAAGGGGTGTGGCCTGGAGCACATGACCCGGGGCACATGAGCCTCAGTGTCTTGCCTGGAAATGGGGCTAATGTGCAGAGAACAAAACCAGTGACTGCAGGGACTGGTGGCAGCACCTGGGCCACAGTAGCCACTCAGCAAACACCAGGCCTGTTCCCGGTGTGTGTTACCAGGAGCCTGTCTTGAGCGCAGGGCCCGGCGCGGAGTCCACGTGGTGGTAGAGAGTCGGGTGGCTGAGGAGTTGGAGAACGATCGGGGGACTTCACCCCGAGGTCTTCATCCTCTGTGCCTGGGCCACCCCACCGTCGCCGCCCAAACCATTCCCCACTGTGTGGGCTGCAGCCCGAGCTCAGAAGGCAGTTACTCTTAGCCCAGGCCCCATCTACGGGGACCGAGTAGTTGCCATGTGTACCTCCCTGGGCAGAAAAGCTTCTGGGTCTGTGTTCTTGGCCCAGCACATGGGCCGCAGGGCAGTGGCTGGGAGATGCAACATCTCCATGGGCTCCTGCCCTCCCCTGCCCAGGCTTTCCCTCAGAGCCCCCCGGGAGTGGGGGTACTCCCCACGTGACCCCCAGCAGGTGCAGCAGGCTCTTCGATGGGGCGGGGGCGCACACAGAAAGGACCAACTCTGTGGACTTGGCTGCTGTAGGAGGTGAGTGAGCTTCCCGTCGTTGAAGGCATGTGAGCGGTTTGTAGTCAGGCCTTGTGGCTCGGCCGCACAGAGGAAATGACATCCTCCCCGCCAGATGTGTTGTGGCACAGGGATGAAGGCTTGGGCCAAGCAGCCCCAGAGGAGGAGTGGCAGCCGAGGGAGGCGAGGACGGCCTCATCCTGGGCTCGCCGGTGATGAGCAGCAAGGGCTCAGATACTGCTGTGTGTCTCAGGGGTCCACCTGCCCCAGGGGACCCCCTGCAAGGCCGTGCTGTTCCTCTCCTGGCTTTAGGCAGATGTGCATAAAATACTTGACACAGGCATCCAGGTTTCAGAGGCATGCTCAGCCCACATGTGCGTCCGTAGCTGGAAGCAGATGCCGCCAGGTGACATTCCTACAGGCACTCTTGTCACCCAGGAGGAAGGCAAGGCAGTTGTTTGTGGGCCTCAGGGGTTGCATGGTGCTGGCCTCCCTGCACTTTCTGGTCCTGCTGGCCTGGAGGTGGGGCCAGACGCTGTCCCTCCAGCTGGGAGTACCTGCGGCCCCCTCACTGGGGGTCCCACGGCGCTGAGTCCTCTCTTCCCCCCACAGGAGAACTGTACCGGGTTTCCTTGAGAAGACAGAGGTTCCCAGCCCAGGGAAGCATCGAGATCCATGAAGACAATGAGGTGGGCTGGGCTTCTGAGGGTGTCTGGGCCCACCTCTGGTCAGAATTTCTGGGAGAGCCCCAGGCTGGTGGACACTTGACTTCCTCTTCACTGGTCTCACTGTGTGACTCCGGGCAGGTGCTCATCTTTCTCTGGGCTGTTGGCTCCTGTGTGAACCAGGAGGGTCTCTTGGGACCCTTCTAGCCCCCACAGTAGGGCGCGTGCTCTGCTGGCAGCCTGCGTGCCTCCCTCTGAATGCACACGAGGTCCCACCACACTGGGAGCCGGGGGGCCCCCAGCTGGGAGCTGAGACACGCCAGCCAGAGTGTCTGTGTGCCATTGTCCATGGGTCTCTATTCCGACGGATATCCTTCTCAGGAAGGCTGCCCACAGCGCTCCTGCAAGACACATGTCCTTCTGCTGGTGCTGCATGGGGGCAACATCCTGGACACGGGTGTGGGCGACCCATCCTGCAAGGCAGCCGACATCCACACCTTCACCTCCGTGCTGGAGAAGGTCACGCGGGCCCACTTCCCAGCAGCTCTGGGCCACATCCTCGTCAAGTTTGTGCCCTGCCCTGCCGTCTGCTCGGATGCCTTCTCACTAGTCTCTAAGTGAGTCCCCTCTGCCCACCTGGGCTGGCTAGGGCTGGTGGGGATGGTGGGCTGTGGGTGCCCCTGGCCGGGGCCTCCCTGGGAATTGAGGGTGGGAAGGGGCCAGTGAGAGTCCAGAGCAGTGTGTCCCCCTGTGCTGGGCCGGGCGGTACAGGCCCCTCGATGGTGCAGAGCCACTCTCCATGCTCCCCATGCTGGCCCTCCTGGCCCAGAGGAGGCTGCAGAGGCCTCGAGGGGCTAAGCTGTTTCCCCGGGGTTCCCAGCAGCATGTGTGCTCTCTGGCAGGCAGCACAGGGCAGGGTGGATGCCCAGCGAGGGCTGGGACCACTGCCCTGTCCGGGTTTCCTGGTCTGTAAAGTGGGGATTGTCATGTCCTAAGTACCTGCTGGGGTTTTCTTGAGGGTCTTGCGGGCTGGAGCTCCTGGCACAGGTGGAGTCAGCCGTGATGCACGGCTGCGTCCTCATGGTGGGGACAGCGTTCTCTGTGATCAGCAGGCTGGGAGAGGATGTCTCGACTGCCAGCAGGGACCCTGGCTGGAGGGGACTGAACAGTAGGCTCACAGGGCCCTAGTTCCATATCCAGAACTGCTGGAGCCTGGGGGAGGGAGCGGGGCACACGGGGTTCACTGTTCCTGGTGAGAGACAGGAAGGGGCCCGGGAGCAAATGCCCTGTGACCCCTGTGGTCCCAGGTCGGGCTCCCAGCTGGATGAGGGACAAGATGAGTCAGTAGCTCCCCCAGCTGGTGTGATTCTTGGCCCCAAGTCAGGGAAGGCACGCTGGAGTCCTGTCCATACCAGCCCCTGGCCCTGCTCTGCAGGACTGGTGAAGCAGGCTCTGTCCCGCTCCTGTGGTCAGGAGTTCCCAAGCTGTTCCATAATAACCCCAGGAGCCAGAGTCCTCGCCCCCAAGACGTCCAAACCCCAGAACTGAGTCAGCACCCCGGCCCTGGTCCCCAGGAAGATGGATCGTCCAGCCACTTCCGGGGAGCTCAGGGAGCCAGTCCCTCCCCACCAGGCGGCTCTGCTGGCCCACTGGGAGGGAGCTCATTCTCTGCTAATTAAACGCTCTACAGCTGCAGTGGAGGCCTGTTTCCTCCCATTTGTTCTCTGTGGAGATGAGGAAGGGCTGCTGGGCCGGCCATGCTCACCACCAGGGCTCTGCCACCTGTGCGGAGAAGCCTGAGCCCTGGCACCTGCCCTGCGTCTGTCAGGTGCCCCATGGGTCCACGCTGCGCCCTCATCCTGACCTAGAGCCATGGGCTGAGGGCCTGACGTCCCCTGGACAGAGGCAGGCCGGGGTGGGAGGGAGGCTGGAGCAGGAGTTGGGAGCTGGGTCTAGAGGGTCCTGAGCCCCCTGGAGGGAGGGACTTGCAGGAGGGGAGCAGGGAAGTGGGGAGGCTGAATGGTCCGCTGGCAGCAAGGATGCTGTAGGGGAGGCTGTGTCGTCCGTCCGGGGGTCACACCTTTCCAGCAAGCCCCTGAAGGCTCCAGACCCTCTCCTGAGAAGGGTGGACACAGCTCACGTGTGGGGCCCCGTGCTCACCTGGCAGGGGTGCTTCACAGGGACCCCACGCCTGGGAGGTGCTCTCTCCTCCTTCCAGGCACCCCTAAAGCCTTCCTTGAGACCCAGTCCCAACTCCACCTCCCCCAGGAAGCCTGCTCTGATCTGTCCCCACCAGGATCCACACCAGGTCGGGTGTCCCAGGGGTCTCAGCAGGAGAGGGCTGGGGGAGGCAGCTGTCCCAGGAGACCCTAGCCCACATGCCGGGCTGGCGCGGGCAGGGTTGCACAGGGGAGTCAGCACAGTACCCCCTAGCCCCTGGCCTGTGCCCCATTTCCTCTGGCTCTTGTCCAGCTCCCCCTCCTGAGCCCCAGACAGGGGCCCAACCGTGGCCAGCTCGTGCCTCTGCTCTCTGCCCCGTGTGGCCCCAGATCCCTGCCTGAGCCCACTGGGCTTCCCTTGACCCTGTCTGCAGCCTGAACCCCTACAGCCACGATGAGGGCTGCCTCGGCAACAGCCAGGACCATGTCCCTCTGGCTGCACTGCCCCTGCTGGCCATCTCGTCTCCACGCTACCAGGATGCGGTCGCTACTGTCATCGAGCGGGCCAACCAAGTCTACACAGAGTTCCTCAAGTCCCCTGACGGTATCGGCTTTAGTGGGCAGGTAGGACACTGCCTCCCTAGCCTGCCCAAACCTAGCCGGACCCTGGCTAAGTCTGACCCCCGACCCTGGCCTGATTCCGACCCTAGGCTGCCTGCTGTTGTGTCCTCAGCTGACCCTGGCCCAACTCTGACCCCGGACCCTAGCCTGCCTGCTGTGTGTCCTCAGCTGACCCTGGCCCGAATCTGACCCCTGATCCTAGCCTGACCCCCGACCCTAGCCTGCCTGCTGTGTATCCTCAGCTGACCCTGGTCCGACTCTGACCCCCAACCCTAGCCTGACCCCTGACCCTAGCCTGCCTGCTGTCCTCCGGCTGACCCTGGCTGCAGAACGAGCACCTGTCTCCCATCGGGTCTCCCTCTGTATCTCACGGGGACAGGTTCCTCAGTGTCCCCTGGACAGGTGACTGGTGCCCTGGCTGGGTGGGGGTGAGGGGTCCCTGGTGGGCTGGACTTGCACCCCAGCTGTGTCTCCTGCAGGTGTGTCTCATCGGGGACTGTGTGGGCGGCCTCCTGGCCTTTGATGCCATCTGCTACAGCGCGGGGCCCTCAGGGGACAGCCCAGGCAGCAGCAGCCGGAAAGGGAGCATCAGCAGCACGCAGGTGCGGGCCAGATGGGGGAGTCTGTCCCCGGGGGAGGGGATGCCAGCGCTTCACACTTATCCATGATTGCTGGCTTCTAAAGTGTTGCTTCACGATCCTACAAGAATGGGGCTCAGGGAAGACTTGGTCCGGAGTCCCTGGGGTCACGTACCTTTGGGTGCACCCCAAATCTCCCCATCTCTGCCATGTGGCTGCCATGCTCCTGGGGGCCAGTGCTGCCCTGAAATCTCAGGAGAGAAGGGTTCATGGGGCCTGGAGGAGGAGGTAGGGCCCCCGAGCCTCTGGTGACTGCACTGCCCTCCTGTCCTCTGTGTGACCCCAAAGGACACCGTCGCGGTGGATGAGGCATGCAGTCTGGCCAGCAGTAAGCGTCTCAGCAAAAGCAGCGTTGATGTCTCCAGTGCACCGGAGGATGAGGAGCCCCCAAGGCCATTGCCGCGGAAACAGAGCGACTCCTCCACGTATGACTGTGAGGCCATCAACCAGCATCACGTCTTCCTGTCGAGGTGAGTGCTCCTCTGGCGTGGTGTCCGCAGCCCAGGGGACCCCAGCTCATGGTTCCCCAGGAGGCCTGTGGCGGGTCACGTGTGCTGGGCCTCTGCCAGGACCTTGCCCCTGTCCCTGCTCTGCCCCGACTGGCAGACACCAGGACGGTGGGTGCCCCCTCCCTGAGCCTCACTGCTCCTTCTTCCTGCCAAAGGGCAGATGCTGCCGGCCGCTTTGCCAACGGTTTTGAGAGTGTGGTGTAAGAGCTGATGCGGGTGTGTTTGGGAGCCACTCTGGGTGTGTGTTCTCACTATTTCTCAGATGGGGCCTCAGAGAACCCCGGTGGGCCAGGAAGTTTCTTGGGGGGCACGGCCAGCTGTCGATACCCTGGGGCCAGTGTTCCGGCTCCCAGGCCCCAGCGCGGCAGCTTCTGCACAGAGTTCCATGAGTCATCTGCATGTTTATCTTGGATGCGGGTATCCAGGCGGGTACAAGCCCAGCCAGGAAGGGACGTCCCCTCTTATCCTGATGACACGCACCGTGAGGTCGTCACAAGCTCTGCAAAACAGATCCACTCTGAACCCTTCGGAGTATTTCCTTTCTGTGTATATCGTTTACGTGGTCTGCATACAGTTTTACTTAAAAAAAAAAAAACCTTTATGTTGTGATTTTTTTTGAAGATTTTATTTATTTATCCATGAGAGACACAGAGAGAGAGGCAGAGACAGTCAGAGGGAGAAGCAGGCTCCCTGCGGGGGGGCCCGATGCAGGACTCAATCCCAGGACCCCGGGGTCAAGCCCTAAGCCAAAGGCAGATGCTCAATCCCTGAGCCCCCGGGGACCCCTATGTTGTGATTTTATCTGATTTTTATCTCTGTATAATAAATACTTGCTGAACGTTCTTCATAGGGAATATTTTATTGAGTGCATAGATACCTTACTTCTTCCGAGTTTTCCAGTTCTTTCTGACAGGTGGCGCTCTGGCGAACACCTTCGCGAGACACTTTGTGTGTGTTAGGGCTGGTTTGCTCAGGTGCGCTTCCGCAAGGGAAACCGTGGGATCAAAGGCTCTGTGTGTTGATGTCTCTGACTGTTGGAAGCCTTCCTCCCATCCCCCGCCCCTGAGGGCCACGTTTCAAGTTGGGGTTGCAAGGTGAAATTGCAACATTTCTAGTTCATTCTTGAAATATCCTTTAGGGAGAGGTCCCAGATTCAGAGAAGATGTCCGAGGCTTTGGGTGGCTGGTTCCACGCAGCCAGCTTTCCCCTCTGGTGTAGGGACAGATGGCTGTTTCTCTGGCAGTTAAGGAGCTGGCGTGTGTTTAGGGACGGCACTGTATGCAACATGTGTATCGTTGACCCCAGCGCTGTCCTCATGGGGAGAGTGGGGAGCCCGAGGCTTCAGATCCAACTGCCTGGACCCTTGCTCCCAGAGGGCAGGCCGCCTGCCCCGTGCTAGTCCCATTGTTATTGCTAACATCCCCTCTCCCCTCCACCTTGAGGATTCCATCAATTCACAAGTCAGGGGATCGCTCTGGACAGTGTTCCACCCCAAGCTGTGCCTCAGAGCCAGCTAAAGTTTGGGGGGTTGCTGTTCTTCTCCCGCGGCTCTGGCTCACGGGCCGGCTGCAGGCGGGAGCCCACGCTGTCTGCGGGAACATGCATTATAGTGAGAGGCCCAGTCCCTGGAGAACTGACACCACGCAGTGGGTCTGCATAGGGGCCGGGCTACTCAGGGACATGGGGCTGGAGGTCGCGGGGTGGCTCCCGCACAGCCAGCACCAGGGGGCAGGCCTGCCATCATGTGGGGTGTTCGAGTAACCCTAGGTCCTTGGCCCTGCTGAGCAGATGCAGGTTTACTGGATGGTGGCCGTGTGGGTTTTCCCAGGAATTGTCTCTGGGAATGCTGAGGGGGAATGTGGCCTGCTGACCCTGGGCCTGGGGAGTGTTGGCAGACCTCAGCGGCCAGCGTGGAGGCAGTGTCGACAACCTCTGAGCCCCGCGGATGCATTCGTGGAGGGCTGGGCTCCTCCCACTCAGCCTGTGCACCCTGGTGCGCAGCCCTCCCCTAACTGCCCTCCCGGCTTTTCTCCCTGGAGCAGCATCCACTCCGGTGTGCTGAAGGACGAGGCCGAGCCTCCTGCGGCCGGGGGGTCCCAGCCGCCCGAGGTCAGCCTGGGTCGCTTGGACTTCGACGTGTCCGACTTCTTCCTCTTCGGCTCGCCCCTGGGCCTGGTCCTGGCCATGCGGAGGACGGTGCTGCCCGGGCTGGACGGTGGGTGGCTTGGGCTGGGGCCTGAGAGGCCTCGTGTCCTTGGGCACAGGGTCGGGCCCTGCAGCCAGGGGCGTGGGGTGGAGGGACAGGCTGCCACGTGTTCCAGGGTCCACAGAGTGCCTGTGCTCCCCCAGGGCCCACTGGGGCTTGTCAGTGTTCACTGACGCCTCCTCCATGGGATGGATGGGAGGGGGAACTCTGCCTGGAGCGGGGTGCAGCGGGGAGGCTGAGGCCCCTGGCTGCCCTTGGTGTGGCCCCGGAGACCTAGGGCTCCCTGGACAGCAGAGTGACCAGTCCCCTGAGCCAGGTGGACAGAGGGCCTCAGTGCAGACCCCTGCTGGTGTGAGGGGAAGTGTTCCCAAACTCTTGCCCCCGCCCCCGTGTACCGCTAACCCCAGGCCCGAGAGGCAAGCATGAGCTGCTCCCTGGGGACCAAGTGATGAGCTCTGTGTCCCAGAGATGCCCTCATCGGAGTCCCGGAGGGTGGGAGGCGCAGGCTGCCCCGGGGGCCGGGCTGGGCAGTCAGGGCAGCTGTGAGATGCTCGGCCCCACCCTGACTGTGACGCCCCCCGCAGCTGATGCCCTGCCGATGTGTCTGCTGGCGGGTCAGGAGCCAGGCCGGGGAAAGCTGTGCGGATTTGCTGCAGTGTGACTGGGAGGAGGGGCAAGGATGCAGAGGGGGGCACGGCGGCTGGCAGGGAACTTCGTACCAGGCGCCCACAGTGCCTCTCCTGGGGCGTGGGCAGATCGGCAAGGCCTTGAATGCCCAACTCCACATCTCGACTTTGCTCCTGTCGGTGGCAGGGAGCCCCCAAATCCTTGCGCAGGTGGTTGGGGGGCTACTCAAAGCTGCCCTCAGGGGCCTCCGAGGGTCAAGGGGGCGGGAAGAAGCAAGGGGCTCCCCCGTGTCCCCTTACCCCAGGCTTCCAGGTGCGTCCTGCCTGCAGCCAGGTCTACAGCTTCTTCCACTGCGCGGACCCCTCGGCCTCGCGGCTCGAGCCCCTGCTGGAACCCAAGTTCCACCTGGTGCCGCCCGTCAGCGTCCCGCGCTACCAGAGGTTCCCGCTGGGCGATGGACAGTCCCTCCTGCTTGGTAGGCTCGGGTGTGAGTGTGCACTGAACAGGGGCTGGGCCTGCCATGTGCCCCACCCCGTGATCTCCTGCCAGTGTTTCTGCCCCTGTGATGCTCCCGCCGGTGCCCCCACGATGTCCCTACCAGGTGCCCCCCGTGATCTCCACAGGGTGCCCCCACCCTGAGATGCCCCCTCCAGGTGCCCCCACCCCCATGATCTCCCCGCCGGTGCCCCCACCGCCCCCACAGTGCCCCTCACCAGGTGCCCCCACCCTCCCTGATGCTCCCTGACTGGGTACCCCCACCTTCCATAGCCCCCCTAGTGGCCCCCACCAGGTACCCCCACACCCCTGTCCTCATCCAGCCCTACATAGCTGAAGGAGGGCCTAGCCCCTGCTGAGGGGGCCTGTGAGCTGGACGGACTGGAAGACAGCAGGGCAGCTGCCTCACTCACCTTCTGGGCTGCCCAAATGTGTGCACACCTGCTCTGCAGGGGGCCCCTGCCTGATTCCTGTGGCTGCGGCCAGCGCTCGGGCTGCTAGACCTGACATGGGAGGGGCAGGGCAGGGAGGATCCCAACCTGGTGGGTAACATGCAGGAGGGAGCCTTGGGTCCTGGCATTGGGGCAGGGGGAGCAAGTGCAGGTGGGCTCGGAGGAGGGCTGGTGGCCCCTGGGGCTCCAGGAGGTGAGCCAGGCATGGATGGTCACTGGAAGCCCAGCCCCTGACCCCAGCTGAGAGCCAGGCCAGGCCGGGTGCAGGGTCTGTGCCCGCGGCTCAGGCAGGACTCAGAACCAACCACGCCCCCCCGTTTTAACAAAAACTTCATTTCCGAAGTCCTCCTTGGTTGGGAGCTTCCACAGACAGAGATGGCTTCGAAACGTCCCCCGTGCACCCCGTGTCCCTCTGTGCTTAGGGCGTCACCTGCCCCTGAGCACGCCTGAGCACCCAGGCTGCAGTGCCATTCACATGCAGGCTCGGCTGCGGTCCCCGAGGCTCAGGGAGGAGCTGGGTATGAGGGCACGTGGTTCTGGGTCATCCTGTGACTCGTGTTTCTGGGGCTGTGTCCCAGAGATGCCCTCATTGGAGTCCCAGAGGGTGGGAGGCGCTGGCTGCCCCGGGAGCTGGGGCTGGGCAGTCGGGGCAGCTGTGGGATGCTTGGCCCCACCCTGACTGTGACGCCCCTCCCCCCACAGCCGATGCCCTGCACGCCCACGGCTCCCTGTTCCTGGGGTGCAGCTCACAGGACAGCCCACCGCTTCCCGACGCCCCCGCCTCGTCTCCCCCAGTTCTGAGGCCCCAGCGCCCGGGCCGCAGGGTGAGCCAGGACAGCTCCCATAGCGAGAGCTCAGGGTCCTCGGACAGCCTGGCCCTGGTGGGCACCTCCCACAGTGAGTGAGGGTCCTTGGGGCTCTGCCGGGTCGGAGGGAGAGGGACCTTCCCCTGGGTGGCTGCTAAGGGCAGCTGGGACAGATAAAGAGCCCTGACCTCTGGCCACAGGCCGAGCCATGACCTTGCCCAGCCTAGACTGATCCTGACCCTAGTCCGAGCCCTAACCCCACGGTTCCTTCTTCCCATGGGGAGTCCCTGCAACCCCAGGGTGGGACTGGGCATCTCTGTGGGGCTGGCCCTCGCTCCTGGGGCCCAGAGTGACACATTGACCGTGCGGTCTGTGGGATGGGGCCCCAAGCCACCCCGAGGGCTGTGGCCCAGGCAGGCCACACTATCCTCACCTTGCACTGGGCCCACAGTCACAGCCAGGTGGTGGGGTGCCAAGCGCATCGACTATGCCCTGTACTGCCCCGACGTCCTCACGGCCTTCCCCACTGTGGCCCTGCCCCACCTCTTCCACGCCAGCTACTGGGAGTCCACAGACGTGGTGGCCTTCATCCTAAGACAGGTACCGTGCCCCTCCCAGGGGCCCATCCTTGCGTGTGGGAGACAGGGCCCCCTTGCAGGCCACACTGGACCCTGGGCTGGTCAGCCAGATCGGGGGTCACCAGGCCAGGTGGCAGGTCTCATGAAGTGCACTGGCTTCTGGTTGGCGGTGCGCCACTTCTAGCGGATGGAGGGGGATGTACCCATCCTCCTGGAGACGATAGAGAAGTGCCTGTTTCCTGGGGGCCTGTGTATCCTCAGAGAGGCAGGAACCTGGGGAGGGCACAAAGAAGGAGGTGGCGGGCGGAGGGTGGATTCCGTGCAGCCTTGGGAGCTAAAGGCAAGGGACCGACCCTGTTTGGTGTCCCGTGGGCAGCGTGCTGGCCTAGAGCGAGGGACAGCTGTCAGCTGACTGTATAATAGAAGGAAATCCCGTGTCTGCTGCTGGGTGGACCAGGAGACCCGTGGAGAGGCTGACCTCGAGGTGGTGGCGGGGTGCTGGTGCTCTGGGGGGCCGCCGGCTATGACAGAGGAGGCCAGTGGGTCCTGCTGTCCACCTGCACCCCTGCAGGGGGAGCTTCTAGGTTTGGGGAGGAGCAGGGCCAGGCTGGGCTGTGGTCTGGATGTGGGAAGGGTGGGCTGCCTGCCGTGGGCCGGAAGGAGGTAAGTGGAGTCTGGAGCTTGGGGCAGATATGGGTGGCACGCACCCTGTTGACAGGCAGGGCCCCTGAGTGCCGTGTGTGGGCAGCTGTCCTCTGCCTGTGGTGCATCCTGTAGCACAGCCCGATGCTGACCCCACCTGTCCCAAGGCCAGACTGACCAGAGCACTCCTGTTGCCCAGGTGATGCGCTACGAGAGTGTGGCCGTCAAGGAGAGCGCGGGCCTGGATGCTGCAGCGCTGAGCCCTGCCAACCCCCGTGAGAAGTGGCTCCGTAAGAGGACCCAGGTCAAGCTGCGGGTAGGTGCTCACTGGAGCAGCACTCGGGGGGCATGGGGCTGCCTGGGGGTCGGGGGGTGCATAGACAGGAGCAGGTGCTGGCTGGGGCACGATTCAGAGTGCTGGGGCTGGCAGGGAGATGCCTGCGGGGGAGAGTTGCTGGATGTCCAGCCTCCATAGATGAGGACATGAGTCAGAAACTCAGCCATGCCCACGGGGCTTGCCATCTCATCCGCCACTGAGCACGGCCTGGTGTGGTACTGGCTGCCACAGAGGGAGGCACCGATGAGGAAGCAGATGGAGAAAGGCCTCTCAGGCAGGCTGTGCTCGGCTTCCCTGAACGGGGGTCCCCTCCATTAGGTATTGTGGTATGAATAGGAGTTTGGTAGGCATAAATTCATTTATTTGCTCAGCCAACCATCATCAAGTGTGGATGTGGCTGCTGTGTCCTCTGCTGAGTTGGGAGCATGTAGGGGCTCAGGGACACAGCCCCTGCCCTGGTGGCTCCCTTCTGCCCTAGTCCCAAAGGGTAAAAGATGATTAGCGCTCTGTGAATCAATTCTGTTTTTGTAAACATGTTTTTTTTTTTTAAGATTGTATTTATTTATTCATGAGAGACACTGAGAGAGAGGCAGAGACACAGACAGAGGGAGAAGCAGGCTCCCTGCAGGGGAGCCCCATGTGGGACTCGATCCCAGGACCCCGGGGTCATGCCCTGAGCCCCCCAGGCACCCTTTGTAAAGGTACTTCCTGAGCTATAACCACGTTTTACACCCTGCGTCAAAGTGCACAACACAGTGGGTTTCGTGGGGTCACGGACGTGTGCAAACAGCACTGTAGTCTGTTCAGAAGTTTGTCACCACCGCAGGAGGGGACCCGGGGCTCCCCACCTCCCCGGCACCCCCCTCCCCTAGTGAGGCTGTCTGTGGATTCGCCTGCCCAGGGCGCCGCGGGTGCGAGTCACCTAGCGTGGGGCTCCTCCCACGGCCATCTGTTCCCACCCAGCGGAGCAGGTGGCAGTACTTCCCTCCTGGTGGCTGAGTGGTGGTCCTGCAGGGACCCACCCGTTGACTCGCTCGTCAGCTGCCAGGCATTCATGCGGTTTCCCCGCGTTGTCTGCTGTGAAGACGCTGCAGAGCTTTGTGCGAGTCCTTGCTCTTGCTCTCGATCTCAGGGTTACAGACCCAGGGAGGCAGGGGTGGGCCTGGGGCGGGGCTCTGTCTTACCTGAGGGGCCGGGAGCTCTTCCAAGGCGGCCTCCCCCAAGCTGGGCAGGCGGTTAGGAGGGGTGTGTTGGGGGTCCCGGGCTCTGACCCCTCATTCTGGCCGCCCGGGTGCGTGGCTGGGGGTATCCTGGCGGGGAGGCTCCGTGTAGCCCAGCGCCTGGCAGTGCAGGCGTCTTTCTGTGCATTTAGCTGCATGAGCCCGCTCCTCTGTGTGCAGGAACCTGGGGGCCTTGGAGACAGAGTTGGGGTCCCCTCCTGGGGTCTGTTCCCCTCCTGGCCTCCATGGGACTGTGGCTTAGATCTCCCAGAAAGGCATGTTGTGGCGGGACGTGTCCCCCCAGCCGCCTGAAGGACCTTCAGGAAGAGGCCAGCTCGAGCCCCCAGCAAAGCTGAGCTGCTGTCTGTCCTTTTAGAATGTGACTGCGAACCACCGGGCCAATGACGTGATAGCGGCCGAGGATGGCCCCCAGGTCCTGGTGGGGCGCTTCATGTATGGGCCCCTCGACATGGTGGCTCTGACTGGAGAGAAGGTACTGGCCCGGGCTGTCCTGCTGGCTGCCCCTGCAGCAGGTGCCTCATGCACCACATGACACGGATTCGGGGAGCTGAGGGCAGGGTGGGTCTGAGCCACCTCGGTGGGTCTGAGCGGCGGCATGCGGGGGGGAGCTTGCAACATGGCCCCCCAGCCATGCCCGCAGCCCTCATTCCCGCCCCCTCACTTGTGCAGGTGGACATCCTGGTGATGGCGGAACCGTCCTCGGGCCGCTGGGTACACCTGGACACGGAGATCACCAACAGCAGCGGCCGGATCACGTACAGTGTGCCGCGGCCCCGGCGCCTGGGTGTTGGCGTCTACCCGGTGAAGATGGTGGTCAGGTGAGACGCCAGGCTGGCCCGATGTGGAGTCTGCGGGGTGTCTTCCTGGGGCCCAACCTGTCTGTGCAGAGAGGGGATGATGGCTGGGCTGCTCCCCTATACCCCGATGTTCCCGCTGCCCCTGGCTTTGCAAGCTCTGAACCCAGCTGCAGGCTGACCTCTGGCCTCCCTTGGGCGCATGGCTGACCACAGGCAGGTGCCTTTCAGGGGTGACCAGACCTTTGCAATGAGCTCCCTCACGGTGCTGCCCAGAGGCATGGAGTGTGTGGTGTTCAGCATTGACGGGTCTTTTGCTGCCAGCGTGTCTATCATGGGAAGTGACCCCAAGGTCCGGCCAGGGGCGGTAGATGTGGTACGGTGAGTGCTCCTTCTGTGCCTGAGTCATGTCCACATCTCGGGGTGGGAGCCAGTGGTCCCCGGGGTGGGAGGAGCGGCCACACATCTTCTGGTAACTGCAGGACCTCCCTAGGTCTCTAGGGACACAATGATGGACTGTCCTGCGCCTCGTGGCTCTGTGGGTGAACGGGGCTGGGCCGGGATGTTTTCACCATCCCGTTACTCACAGCCCCGTGGTGCCCATACTCACGTGGGCTCTTGCTCCCAGGCTGGGCTCATCCCCCGGCCCCCACATGGAGGCTGGAGCCTTCCTCCCACCCAGCCTAGGCGCTGCACTCTGTGGGTTGTAGGCAGTGGCAGGACCCGCCTGGATTCCCGGGAAGGTCTGGACGTGGGACACGTGGCTCAGGGGGCGGGGCACGTTTTGAGACCACCTGACGCACAGCGCTGAGTTTAGGGGGATTGGGGCTGCCATAGCCAGTGGGGGAAAGTAGACCAGGCTTCCTGAGAGAGGTGGCGCCAGAGACAGCCTCTGCCGGCCAGACGGATGGATGTTTTCTGTCCGCGCCACTGCACAAAGATGAGCGAACAGAGAGAAGTGAGAAGAAAATACAGGACTGAACTTGGTAGCACAGAAGGCGGACACGGGTGACAGGGGTGGGAAGGACGACGCAGGGGTGACGGGGACAGGAAGGATGCAGGGGTCGGGGGATGGGAAGGATGACACAGAGGTGACAGGGACAGTGTCAGGGCAGCTGGACTCTGGGGCCAGATTGGGGCAGGGCAGGGATGTGTTTGGACAAAGATGTGGGAAGGTCTTGCCCATAGAAAAGCAAGAGAGGAAAAAAAAAAAAAGAAAAGCAAGAGAGGTACTGTAGTCTTCCCTCCCTGCCTCCACCCCTGCCTCCACCCCTGCCCTCACCCCTGCCTCTCTCCCTCCCTGCCTCCTTCCCTGCCTCCCACCTCCCTCCTCCCTTCCTGACTCCACCCCACCCTCCTCCCTGCTCCTTCTATGCTCCTGCTGGGCATCGAGGCAGACAGATCTCCTAGAGGGAGAAACTGTGAGGAAAACAAGTCACAGGCAGGAGAAACTGTCATGTCCGGGAGTCCACACATCTGAGAGCAGGATGGAGCAGGAGCAGGGGTCACTGTGGGGAGGGCACAGCAGCCTGTGTGGGGCCCCCAGGGCCAGTGGACCCCTAGATGCCCCGGTCCTGCAGGAACAGGCCCTAGACGGTGTCCAGCTCCCCCGGGGGGCGTTCATTCCTCCTACGGTGTCTGTGCCCCCCCCTTCGGTGAGTCAGTGCCCCCATAGCCAGGCAGGGGAGGCTGTGGTCCCCTGTCCTGTGTTTGCTGGGCCCTGCCGATGCTCTGTAAACCTTGCTACTCATCAGAAGCAGACTCCTGGGACCCAGCTCAGAGCTCCCCAGAGTCCCCAGGGGTGACACCTTGGCCTGTGCTTTATTACAAAGTCTCCTTGAATCTCATGGGTCACCTTCTAGATTTGGAAACCCCTGGTCTCTGGGAAGCATGTGCTGTGACAGCGCAGAGAGGAGAGAGAGCGCTGATTCTACTTGGGAAGCTGGAAAGCTTCCTGGAGGAGGGGGCCCTGTAGGCCAGGGGGATGGAAATGAGAGAGGAAGGCATGCAGGCCGTGGTGGGGGCTTGGCAGCTGTGGATACAGGGCTTGGGGGCCACTCAGTGGCTGGGGGACAGATGTCCCAGGGCAGAGCATGGCTGGCCTCGGGGTACAGGGGCACAGAGGCTGTGAGACCTCAGGACACAGGGGGCCGAGATGGCTTCAGGTGGCAGAGCAGTAGGGTTCACTCTGGGGTTTAGAGGCCACCGTGGCAACAGTGCCCACCGTGCAGCCCACTGCCCTGCCCGGCATGTCTGGGGTTTGTCCCGGAGGCCTGGGGAGAGTGCTCTGCAGCCATCTCTGCCCCCTCCATACAGATGGGTCCTGGGGGGGTCACCCAGGTGGAGTGGAGTCGGGGTGCTGTGAGCGCCCTAGGTGGGGTTGGGGTCAGATCCTGCTGGTGGGAGAGGTGTTCAGGGCTGGAGCAGGAAGCAGGACTCGGGGCTTCTCTTAGGCTAGGAAACCAGAGGGCCCCGGGAGGCCCCGGGGAGGGGATGGGCAGAGGGGACAGTGGGTGCTGCCTGTGGGACATCTGGGGACATGGCCAGGACTCCAGGGGCTCCGAGTGTGGCTTTGGAGTCCTTCCAGCTGGTTCTTCCTGGGGCTCCTCAGGAGGGCTGCAGGGCAGGGGAAGGGGGCTGCCAGGTGGGGGGTGGGGGCCGCAGGGTGGGGACTGCAGGGAGGATGGCTGTTGTGGCCTGGGCGACCCCACCATGGCGTCCACGTGGCCCATGTGCCCATAGGCACTGGCAGGACCTGGGCTACCTGATCCTGTACATCACGGGGCGGCCAGACATGCAGAAGCAGCGGGTGATGTCGTGGCTGTCGCAGCACAACTTCCCACAGGGCATGATCTTCTTCTCGGACGGGCTGGTGCACGACCCGCTGCGGCAGAAGGCCATCTTCCTGCGGAACCTGGTGCAGGAGGTGAGTGCCTGCCGCAGGCACAGGGCCCCCACACCCCTGCACGCGGGGGCATCTCACTGGGAGCCCCACACCCCGCGGGGATGGTGGGGACAGCAGGGATGGGAGGAGCACGGAGGCTCCAGGACTCCAGCGACCTTGCACTCATACCTTCCTCCTCCATCTCCTCCCCCTGGGGTCTCGTGATTCACCCCAAGGACGCCCAAGTGGCCCCTCCGCTCTGTTCAGTACCTGCTGTTCTCCTGGAGCGCTGACCCTGGGTGGGTCTCCCAATGTGGAGCAGGGGTCGCCCATGAGGGCCCAGGGTAGGACGCAGCCCCCTGTCTGGTGTCCTCCCACCCCGGGGCCAAGGAACAGTCCTCATGGCTTTAGGTGGTTGGGGAAGATGCAAGGAGGGTCATGTTTCATGATGTGGAAATCGCGGGAAATGCAGATGTGGGGCCTGCAGGTGCAGCTATGTGGGAGCCCAGCCGTGCCCTTTGGCTTCTGCAGCAGCGACGGTGGGTGTAAGCTGCCCCAGAGCTGCTCGGCAGGTGCGGGAGCGAGTTTGGAGCCTGCCGTCCTCACATCTGCTCAACCCACTCCAGAGGACAGATGGGGCTTTCCCCAGAGAGGGCATGGAGGGCTCCTAGGAGGAGGTGCCTTTGGAGCTGAGTCCCGAAGCACAAGTGTGAGTGTGCCAGGTGGACAAAAAACTTGTGTGTGCAAAGGCACCGAGGTAGAGAAAGGACAGGGATGTGCCCAGAGCTGCGGGCATCCCGGAGGCCTGCGTGTACAGGGTCGCAGACCCAGGTCAAGGGGGAGCAGAGGCCTGGGGGTCTTCAGGACTCTGAAAGTCGAGAGGCCTTGAAAACCCTGAAAACCAGGCTGACCATAAACTGACCGTAAACTCCGTTGAGGGCAGTTGGGAGCCACAGGGGAGTGTGGAGCTGGGCAGGGCAGCAGAAGTGACTACTTAGGGTTTGAGACCAGTCCCCACGGTGGGTGTGGGGGGAGGCAGGGAGGCCCAGCAAGGGCAAGGCCCAGTGGGATTCAGCTGGAGGCCGTGGGGATGGGCAGGGGGAATGGGGGCTCCTGCCCAGGAGGGACGGGTGAGGGAAGGGCATGGCTGTGTCAGGGTGTGGGAGATGCAGTTGTTCAGATCCCAGAGGGGCAGCCCCGGGTTTGGTCCGGAGGCCACCGTCCTTCAGGAAGTCGGGGTGGAGGCCGAGGGTGTTGATGGGTCACCCCTGGGTGCAAGAGGTCCTCCCAGCGCTGGTGGGGCTGCCATGGGCCATTGCAGGGTGTGCATGTCAGGTGGGTGGGTGTCGGAGTGGCTGGGTGGGGAGGCACGTGGGCAGCTGTGTGGACCACCCCCTACCTGGGGTGGCATGGACTGCAGGGGGGCAGGGGGCCACACGGAACTGGCATCCAGTCCTGGCCCAGGGTCAGCAGATGCCACGGTGGCACTGGCCTGGGGTGCGGGGTGGGGTGGGGCCCAGGGCTTGCATGGCGGGGGGCGCTGGACCATCCTCCATGAGCCCTCTGCATTCCAGTGCTTCATCAAAATCAGCGCGGCTTACGGCTCCACGAAGGACATCTCTGTGTACAGCGTGCTGGGGCTGCCGCCCTCCCAGATCTTCATCGTGGGCCGGCCCTCCAAGAAGTACCAAACCCAGTGCCAGGTGGGTGGCAGTGGGCTGGGGAAGTTGGGGGGCATCCATGGTGTGTTCTTTTGTTTTCCTTCTGTCACTCCTCAAGGGCTGGTGTCTTGCCCTGGCCCAGGCCCTGTGCTGGGCACAGGGGAGACCCTGCTGGACTCAGAGGTCACGTCACTGGGTCCAGTGAGTGGAGGGAGATGTTGGCAGACAGAGGCCTAAGGAAGGACAGGGACTTAGAGCAGGTGCAGGTCATTGATGAAGGCCCTGGGATGGGACCTGGTTCAGGGATGGAGGTGCCCTGGGGTGGGCGCCAGGTCGGGGATGGGGTGGCTCCGGGGTGGGAGCCAGGTCGGGGATGGAGGAGACTCCAAGTGGGAACCGGGTCGGGGATGGAAGAGACCCCTGGGTGGGGGCCGAGTCAGGGATGGAGGTGCCCTGGGGTGGGGGCCGGGTCAGGGATGGTGGTGACCCCAGGTGGAGGCTGGGTCAGGGATGGAGGAGACCCCAGGTGGGAGCCGGGTCAGGGGTGGAGGAGACCCCGGGTGGGAGCCAGGTCAGGGGTGGAAGAGACCCCTGGGTGAGGGCCGGGTTGGGGGTGGAGGAGACTCCTGGGTGGGGGGCCAGGTCAGGGATGGAGGTGCCCTGGGGTAGGAGCCGTATTAGGGATGGAGGTGATCCCTAATACCTGGTGGGAACCAGGTCAGGGATGGAGACCCCCGGGTGGGGGCCAGGTCAGGAGAGGTGCCCCCGGGTGGGAGCAGAGTTTCCCTACTGGGGTCCAGGTTCTGCTGTGCTGGCCCCCTGCCCACTCTCTGAGGAGCAGGGGTCTGAGGTCGCAGTGGGAGGGCAGCATGGGGGCAGGATTGATGCAGTTCTGTGGGGCAGGGGCCGGGCAATGGCCAATCTTGGCGTTTGCGGTTTTGGTGGCAAGTGGGCAGCATGGGGGGCTCGCCCCACAGGTCCAATCGCAAGTGCTCAGATGTTCAAAGCCGGGCAGGGAAGTGCAAGAGGTAGTGAGCTCCCCGTCTCCCCGGGGCTCCAGGGCAGAGCCAGAGGGCCCCGCTTAGGGCATGCAGGGTCAGGGCATGGGGGGCAGCCGGCCTGACGCCTGTCCCCTCCACAGTTCCTGAGCGAGGGCTATGCCGCGCACCTGGCGGTGCTGGAGGCCGGCCACCGCGCACGCCCCAAGAAGAACAACCCGCGCATGGTCCTGCGCAAGGGCAGCTTCGGCCTCCATGCTCAGCCAGAGTTCCTGCGGAAGCGCAACCACCTGCGCAGGACCATGTCCGTGCAGCAGCCAGACCCGCCCGCCAACCCCAAGCCCGAGCGGGCGCAGAGCCAGCCGGAGTCTGACAAGGACCACGAGCGGCCCCTGGGTGCGCTCAGCTGGGCACGCGGGCCCCCCAAGTTCCAGTCGGTGCCCTGAAGGCAGGGCTGCGCGTGGAGCAGGGGGGTGCCCTACCAGCTGCCTGCGGGCCGGGAGGGGCAGCTGTTCCCTGAGACAGGCCTTTTCCTGCTTTTTCCCTCCCGTGTCTGTCCAGAAGTGTCCACCCGAGGCGGGGAGCAACCCTGCCGCGTGTGGGGCGCGGGGCTCCCCCGGCTGAGGGGTAGGGGCGGGACCCCAGGGTCTGTGCACAGCCGCGGCTGCCTCCCTGTGCGGCGCCCGTGGCCACAAGCCCCTGTCAGGACCGGTGTGTGTGTGACCCTGGGGGCTGGGCTGCCCGTGGCAGAAGGGCTTGACCAAGTCGACCATCCTGCAGGTCCCGAGGCTTCGGAGGCGCCAGGTGGGCCCTGGAGGGAAAAGCCCCCAGACCAGGGGCCATCGGCTGCTGGCAGGTGCAGCCTCCTGGTGGGCTGAGGGAAGGACGAGGGGTGCTCCTCATCCTGGACCCCAATTTCCCGTGGCCGAGGGGCCACTTTGTGGGCATGAGAGGATATCCCCAGGGTCCTCCTGCATTTGCGGTGTCCATCCAAGGCTGGGGGGGTGGGGTCTGGTGCTGAGGGTCTGTCCTCCTGCAGCTGTCCATTGCCCCCATGTCATCCTTGGTGTTGTCACCATTTTTCCGCAGCGGCCTGTGAGGATGAGGACAGTGGTTCCTCTTCCTAGGGCCGGGGATGGGGGTGGTCCCTGCCTGGCATCTTCCCCGTGAAGCTGCAGCCCTGGGGTCCGGCCCAGCTGGGAGCCCACCCTGGCCCTCCCTGGGCCCTGCCTCCTGTTCAGAACTGGACAGGTCCCCCCACTGAGGCTGGTATGGGTTTGTGACTCCAGGCGACCTTGCAGCTGAGTTCCCCGAGTGTTTGCGGCCTCGGAGGCCCTCAGTCAGTGCACAACCTTGCACGCAGCCTGCAAGAGGGGCCCTGGGGACTCAGGGGGAGGGAGGCGGACAGCCCGTGTACTTGCACTGATGCCCCCACCACATGTCCCCGGAAAGGGGACAGGGCCCCAGAGGGCTGCGACCAGGCTCAGCCTCCCCAGCTCTGCTCACACTGGCATCCCCCTGTTGGTTCCTGGGGCCACAGAGATGCCAGCACGCTGGGGCCTTCATGTGATTTTGGCTCAAACTGTTGTACTCCCTTCCATCCCGCTGCCCCTCGGCTTGGTGTGGTGCCCTACACTCGCCCTGGCGAGGCCCCTGTGTTGGCAGGGCCTGGCTCCCGGGGTTGCAGGGGGGCTCAGAGCCTGCCCATGCTGTCCTGCTGCAGAGGCCCTGTGTGCCCAGCAGCCCCTGCTCTGGGCCCCTCGGGCCATCCCCGAGCGGGCGCAGCGCCTCCTCCTCCAGGCCTATGTCTGTCGTCCGTCCGGTGGGGCTGCCCCAGAGCCCAGACACCCGTCCGCAACCACAGCCGGCATCCCTGTGGGCCCCGTGTCGCTTCCGCCCAGTGTCTACCTCTTGCAGCTCCCGAGTGGCCTGTGTGCTCCCCAACGGCGGCGGCTGCTGGTGGGAGCAGCCGGAACACCCTGTGAATTGCCTGGCAGGTGGGCGCCCTGCGGGCCGAAAGGGTCCAGCTCCCACCACCGCCCCACTACCACACCACACGTCTTCTCTAGGCCGTCGCCGCCTGAGCCTGAGCAGCTTCATCTGTGGCCCTGCGCCTGGCAGCTGGGTGCGTGGCTGTCCCTTCCACAGCCACCCCGGGGGCTCTCGAGGCGCCCGCTCCCTGGGTGCAGCCACTTCTACCCTCACCCTTCCCACCTGTTCCCACGTCCGCCCTGGGTGGAGTGTGGGCGGTCCTTGCCCTGATCCTGACGCTGCACCCCGTCCCTGGGTGAAGCTGCCGATGTTGGCCTGGGTGGTAAAGTCCTCAGGAGATGTTGCTTCTTCCTGAGTTAGGCTTCCTCTGCCCCGCGACCCCAGGCTGGGAGGGAGGACGGAGAATGCCAGGCCCCCCAGGGAGGCTGCAGCCCACGAGCCGGTTCCGTCTGTCTGGGTCCCATGGCCTGCGGTCTAGCGCTGGGGTGGCTGCCCCTGTCCTTCCTGGAGTTCCCTGCTTGCAGGACTCACGCCTGCCTGGCTGCTGGAGGGACGTGGTACCCAGGGGCCACCAGCAACCCCATGGGGGTGCCAGCATGGCTGCTCCCACGGCAACTCCGCGACCCATGCGCACTCCCTGCACCAGTGGTTTGTTCACTTTCATCGTCTACTTCCGTAGGAGAGAAACAAAGGGGGGGGGGGGTGCTGCTGCTGTTCCCTGCCCTGCCCCGTGACCCGGTGTGGCCATGTCCTGTTCCCGTCTGCTGGCTCCCGGGCCCTGGAACCCGTCTTCCTGCCTGACCAAAGCTCCTTGTTCCCACGTGGCATGTTTGTTCTTCCCTGGGGCGGGGGGGCGGGGGGCTGTTCCTGTGGGAGGGTCTGCCTGCTGCCTCCTCTGCACGCACCCCGGAGTGGGGGTGGTCAGGGTGCCTCCTCTGAGGATTTGCACTCCCTTCGGCTCCACAAAACACATTTAGGAAAGTAGACTCTCTCCGTGTGTGGGGATGCCTGGGCGCGGGGCAGCTCCAGAGGTGGCGGCGGCGGGGGGGGGGGGGGGGGGGGGGTTGGCTCTCTGAAAGGGCGAGCTGCAACTCGTGGCCCTCAAGCTCTATCCTTATGACCTTGGAGCCCAGACATCGAGTACAACCCACCCCCCCATGTGTCCTCCAGGCAAAACGTGGCACGAATTTTTCAGAGAAAGCAGGTGGTGCGGGTTCAGCACGGACACTCCCCACCCAGCCCAGGTGCCACCGGGCCTGGAGGGGGCACCCTGACAGCGGAGGAGCCCCGCGGCCTGACCCCGCCTTAAATAACCAATGTCCTCGCCCATTCCCGGGGGTTTGGGTGCCAAGTGCTCTGCAAACCTGTTTTCTCTGGCTCAGCCAAAAGACACAACCCTTCCCCCTTCCCCTGACCTCTGGGCTTGGCGTGGGGTGGGGGGGGTGGGGGGGATTTTCCTTAAAAATCACAGCTAGGGTAAGTGCAGGCCTTGGGATGGCCAGGAGGAAACAGAGGCTGACCCCCCCCCTCGCTGCAGTGGACGGGTGGTGGGTGACGTCAGGGAGGGGCAGGATGGGAGGTGGCTCACTGTGGGGGGGCTGCCCCTCCCCCCAGAACCCCACTGTGCTTCTCTGTTCGCTCCATGGTGGCAGCCTGTCTGGTCTCATCCGTTGTCCGATGGTTCCTCCGTGTGACTCAGTGTTACCCGTGGTGGACGGTCCTGTGCTCCAAGACGGTTTCTCCTCTTCCTCATGGCTGCCTTGTACAAACATCCGTTAGAAAAAGAAATTGTAAAATACCAGATTTCTAACAAGATGCACACACGGCATTAATGGCATTCGGAGATTTTTACACCCGGTCTTGTTTTTGACGTGAGCTGGTTTTTACTCTCGAATGTTGTCACTGAAATAAAAACCTTCTTTGCCTTTAAAGGGCACGTGCTTGGTTCTAAGCCACGTGGAGAAACCTGTCATCATCGTTGCAAGGGGGTCCCCACCCTGAGCCAGGGGCCCGGCCGCGTGGATGGAGCCCTGCGTGTGGGGGTGAGTGAGGAGGGACGGACAGAGCAGGTGTCACATGCAGAAGCTGAGTCTTTATTACAAAAGAGCAGCGTTATCCGGGGAAGAAGTCACACACCAGGGTGTTTGTAATAAAATGACAAAGCAGATGTCTTAAATAATTTACCGAGGGCAGAGATGGCTGAGAGCAGGCCTGCCCCTCCCCGCACCCACCAGTGCCCTGAGGGATGATGCATTTCCGAGCCTCATGGGAGGAGTGTGACCGAGCACCCGCGCATCTCCCTCCATGTGACTTGGGCTGGCGGGCAGTCACCGGCAGGTCATGAGTGGTCACGTGTGGTCATGGGCAGGTCACAGGTGGTACGAGCAGGTCACGGGAGGCCACGAGCAGGTCCAGGCGTGGCTGGGGCAGGAACAGAGCCCCTGAGCAGCCCACACCCCCCGGGCCCTCCCTGGGAGCGCGTGGGGACACACAGATCCTGGTACGAGGGCATGGTGGCCGACTGTGGCCGGCTCCATGCCATCCAGAGCTCCCTGTGTGCCTGCCGCTGTGCTCCAGATAGGGGAGGCGGGGGCACCATTGTCTCCCCCCAAGCCCCGCCTGCCACCCTGGGAACGGGGAGTTGGAAGGTGGCTCCTGCTCCTCGGGGGCCTGCTGGGCCGGGCTGGGGACACGGTCGGCGAGGTCAGCGGCTCTGGCTCCAGGCAGGCAGGGAGTCTTGCACACTTCCTGCTCTGCAGGGCCCATCAGCTCTGCAGGGTTTTCCGAAAAAGATCCTGTTTGTGCAAGTGTCTGTGCAGGTGTTTGTGCGTGGGGGGGGAGGGGGAGGAACCAGGAAAGATGCCTGGGAGGAGGGAGTTACCTGAAGGCACGTCTTCAGTCACGGATGAGAGACACGGTCATGTCACTGCTAGAGACGGGGAGGGGGAGGGGGTACAGGTCAGGTGCCTTTGGCGCTATAGAGCAGGAGGGAGCCTCCCACCACGTTCTCAGAGCCAGCTGGCTGCCTGGGGGCCCGTGGTGCCCACTGTCTGAATGGGCAGCGTCCACTGCACCCGGACAGCCACGCACAATGAAACTTTTGATCTGATCCCCGGAGGTCTCAGAGGAGTGGGTGAGGCTCAGCGAGGGGTCGGGCTGAGGTCACACGGCCAGGGGTCACAGAACAGGGGTCAGAGGCCTGCCTGAAAATGCCAGCTCACCCCTCTGCAGCCACAATGGCCTCGTCCAGCTCTTGGGACAGCATCCGGAGGTGCTGAAGTCCTGCTCCCACGGGCTCTAGGTCACTGTCAGACTCGCTGGAAGGAGGAAAAGCCACCCCGAAGACTGGAGCCCAGGCCCCTTGGTGGCACAGAGTGGGGAGATACCCTGGGAAAGTTTGCCAACCCCACCCCCTCCCCCCAGGAAGCGACCTGCCCACGCTCTGGAGCACCTGGAAACAGAGGGTTTGAGCCCATAAGGTGAAGGGCAGGTGACCTTGCGGGGGGTGGGGGGGGTGGGGAGCCCTGCTGCCCCCTTGGAATAGGAGCCTCAGCCCCCAGGTGGCTTCAGAACGTGCTTTTGGGCTAAGGGTGGCCCCGTCAGAGCCCAGCGCACGTTTTTGACACACAGGGAACTAAGGCCCTGGGGACACCCCCTGCTGCCTGGGCACCCCCACTAGCCGCGGCAGAACACTGTCCTCCTACCTGGGGGAGCACAGGGGCTCTGTCGATGAGTAGGGGCTCCGGAGGGCAGCGTCCCTCCTGAACCGCCGTCCTGGGTAGGCGCGTGGGCCCCTGTGGGCAGAGGGCCGGTGGCAGTCCTCCCAGGGGCCCAGGCTCAAGTAGGCGGGGACAGTGCTAGGCAGCCGGCTGCCCTTCTGGCTCAGGCTGTGCGCTGGGGGGCTGCTGCCCTTCTGTGGCCCTCTCCGCCTCCTGGCCTTCACATGGGTCTCCACCAGCCACCTGGTGCCGCTTTGGCAGGACTCCTGGATCCTCTGTGACAGATGCAGGGAAAGGTGAGCAGAGACAAAACAGGGGTGAGCTACCCCAGAGTATCTGGGCTGCAGACACCCACAGCTCCAAGCCTGGGGGTGGTGAGGACGGGTGTGGATGAGTCCACGGGAAACAGGCCGCTGTAGGAGCCTGCTCGGAGCCACCCAGGGAACGAAAGCCTTGGCCACGTCCAAATCCTCTTCCGGGACCTGTGACAACCCGTGACAACCCATTGACGACTGTGGCACGCATAGCAGGCCCACACGCCTGGCCTGGCCTCCAAGACCTGCCTCCGCCCTCACATGTGCATTCACCATCCCTGCAGGTGCAGGTTTTTCCCAAGGGGCTGGGAACCCCCCTGGGGCCCCTCACTGCCCCGGGGAGCAAGCCCCAGCTCTTGGGTCTCCCATACCCACCTGGGGGGCTGTGAGGCTCTTCTGGCCCAGAGCGTCTGCCCTGGAGGCCGGTGTCCAGGGGTTAGAACGAGACCTGAGTTGCATGTGGTGAGTGGCATGGCCATGTCAGACTCTCTCATTCCATGGCCCCAGGCCCCAGGAGGAAAACCATCTTCCCAGGGAGGGATGAGCACTGGGGCTTGGCTCAGAGACCTCCCAGCAGAGGGTCTGTCCGCAGGTTCTCGCCCGCGATTTCCAATCCCCAATCAGACCCCAAGGGGATACTCCCTCCATTCTCTCCTTGGGGTCTGTCCTTTCTAGGTGACACCTTCTCCCATTTTTGGGCAGGAACACCTGTTCACCTGGAGAGCCCACGGGTACCTCACATCTACATGTGACATCTTCATGCCACGTGTGTCACACAAATCCCTGCAGACCTGCCTTTGGACCCCCTGTGAGGCCAGACCTCCAGGCCCCTGCACCCCTACCAACCAGCTGAATGCCGGGTCCTGCTAATTGGGCCCGATTCTAACGCTGTTGAAATCCTCCCTATTGACTCTTGGGAGAGTCTAAACACCTCCAGCCTTGGGACCCCTGCCTTCTCCCTCATGGGGGACCCACCCCTGCCTTCCCCCTCCCCAGGACCTCTGCCCTCCCCCTCCCCAGGAACCCCTGCCCTCCCCTCCTGGGGACCCCTGCCCTCCCCCTCCTCTCTCTCTGCCCTCTGGCCACACCCAGATTTCTCTTCTGTGCCTCCTTCCTCCCTGGATGTGGACTCACACTATTTCACTGCAGGTGATTCCGTGGTGGCCCCCTCAGGAAACCCCACTTCCCTGTCATGCCCTGGTGTGCTACCCTGTTACTACACAGCTTGGTCACCTTGCACGGTGGGTCCTCTAGGGCAGCGTTTCCATTCACTCAGACCACTGCTAGTTGAGCCCAGGCAAAGCCAGCACTGGGGTGCAACCACAAAGCCCGACCCCCACCTCCCCGTGGCCTCCTCCGAGGCCCTCGCAGGCACCGGCCGTCTGGCACCCGCGAGGCCCTGGGTGAAGGGACAGTTCACATCACCCACATTACCTGGGACACAGCACCCAGTGCGTTCTTAGCGGAGCGAGCCGCTGCCTGGAGGCCCTGCTGCCCTGGCTCGGGGCTTTCCAGTTCCAGGCGTTTCCAGGAGGGCCCCGCCCCCAGGTTGAGGCTGACGGCTCGAAGGGGCAGCCTCCTCTGGAACTGTCTGCACAGGGAGCCCAGGGCCCCGCAGGAGATGTCCGGATGGCCAGGGGCGCGCAGCACCACCTCGGGCTCCTGCAGCTGCTCTCGGTCCTGCCGCCCGGAGGCCCCCACGCCTGGCCACTTGGAAGCCATCGGCCTGGTCCAGCGTCTGTTCGGCCCACCAGATGCTGGGGAGGAGGCCAAAGGCAGGTCAGCAGGGCATCCCGGGCCCCAGTGCGCACAGGCTGCTCGGGCGGGGCGCGGGGGTCCCTGGGGTGCTTCCTGGAAGAGGGGTCACTCTCCTGGGAGAGGCGGAGGGTGGACAGCAGGCCGGGCCTTCCGGGCTAGGGCTCCCTCCGCCGCGCTTTCGCGCCCCTGCCCGGACCCCGCCATCCATTTGCATCTCGCAGTCCCCAGACGCCCCCACCCACCTGCGCGCCCGCCCTGACCGAGCCCCCCGCCCCGGCCAGGCCCGTGGGGACCGAGGCCGAAGGACCCCACTGACCCAGGGGCCCGCCGCGCCTGCCGCACGCCCGCACCGGCTCCGCGCCCACCCGGCGGGTTTGAAACTCCGCGCGGAGCCGCCCCCGGGACCGTCCTCGCAGCTGATTGGCCGCGGCCCCTCAGCCCGGGCTCCGATTGGCCCCGGCGCGCGCGGCCGGGAACGCTGGCCTCCCATTGGTTGGCTGCCCCATTCTTGCCCGGGCCGCCCCGCCCGGTGGGCTCGGGGGTCACGCGCTCCGCCGGGAGAGGGCGTCTCCTCGGGGTTGCCGCGCCCGCGGAGCGGAGTCTGCGAGCCTGGCTCGGGTCCCCAGACGCACCGCTTCCACTCGGGAGCCTGGAAGGTTCGGGAGGGCGGGACAGGGCAGGGGCGCGAAAGCGCGGCGGAGGGAGCCCTAGCCCGGAAGGCCCCTCACCCCTGGCCTGCACCCCCTCACCCCTGGCCTGCAGTGCAGCCCCCAGACAACAGCATCCCAGCAAGCTTCGCACCCTGCCCTCCCTCTTTCCCGCGACCTCAGGGCAGACCCCCAGCCCCCGCTTCCAGGCTGCTGACCTCTGGGGGGTGTCTCCGCCAGCGCCCCCCTTCCCCCTTCGTCTCTCTGTCCCCTGTTGGATGACCCCACCCGTCGGCCTTAGAGTCCCCTCTCCCCGCGGCTGGGGCCGCGTGCCCCCCACCCCACCCAGCCCTTCGGGGATGACTTCAGAGGACCCTCCTGGCAGCCAAGGAGTAGACGGGGAAACTGGAGTCCAGGGAGGCCAGGCTGGGCTGGGCCCCGGTGGGCTTCAGTTTGTGGATGGTAGGATTCCCGGTGTCTGGGACCCGGGTCCCTGCGCCCCCTCCTCAGATTTAGGGCGTCAGTGACCAAAGGACCAGCGATGGCACCTCGTGCCCTTGACCGCTCAGGCCTAAAGAAGAGGCCAGTGGAGCAAGACTCCGCGGGGTGGGGGTCCCGGCGCAGAGGGGCCAGCACCCAGGGGGGCACCCCACCCTCAGGCCTGTCAGTGAGACAGACGTTTCCGGAGACAGGACTGCACCCTGAGTGCTGCGCTTTGATTTTCGGGTTTGCTGTTTCACGGCCGGACCCCGCAAGCCGCCGCCGCCGCCAGGGAGGCTGCTGTGCCCGCAGGCCCCGCTCTCCCGCGCGGAGGCCGAGTGTGGCCCGCCGAGGTCGAGGTCGGCCGCAGGGGCCGCACAGATCGGGTCAGTTCTCGCCTTTCCCCGTGACACAGGAGGGGGAAGCAAGCGCGGTCATGGTCGGGGACACGAGCTCGCGGGGGGGGGGGGGGACGCGAGGACGGCGGGGACCAGAGGGCTCCCCGAGCTGGGTCCTGGGGGCGTCGCAGGGCAGCCCGCGTCTGTCCAGCCCCGACGGCGAGCCCAGGACTGAGGCGGTATTTTCATCGTCATTTCGGGGGACAGCACTGGCGCAGGAGGGCGGCTGTCCCTCCAATCCGGGTGCAGAGTCGCGCGGAGCCCAGGCCCGGTGTCTCTGGCTTTGCAACCTGAGCGCGTGCGCTTTGATGGCGCAACCTCCTCAGGTTTGAGGGGCGTGGAGGGGGCTTGCCCGGCGCGTTTGGGGCCTCCCACATGGTCCCTCGGAACGTCCCCGCCCCAGCAGTGGCCATGGCAACGCGGGGAGGAGGGAGAAACGTTTTCTTGTGAATGAGAAGCTCTCCCTTATCGTGTGCGGGTGCAGAGCTGGGGGGGGGGGGGCTGCGGGGGTGGAGGGGGTGAGGGCGGGGCTGCGGGGCAGGGGGGCTCCAGCTCCTCCTTGTAAGGAAAGAGCACCAGTCCCAGGAGGACGCTCCCGGGGTCCAACCGTGGCCTCCACCGGAGAGGAGGAGAAGGATGGAGGATGGAAGGGGGCCTGTCCCGCCCTGCCCCACCCTGGGGGCTCCAGGCCAAGGGCAGTAAGTCCAGCAGTTTCTGGACCCCGTGGGATGCTCAGGGCTGGAAGGACCAGACCCTAAACATGTGAAATGCCAGGACCGTGCAGAGCTCGGGGTGAAGAAGGCGGGTGAGGGACAGAAGACCCGTCCCCAGCACCACCTCCCTCCAAGGCTGTGGGGTGGAGAAGGAGCCTGGCCCGGATCCTGAGGCCCTGCACAGCCTTCACTGGGCTCGAGGAGCGGTGGGCATAGACAGCTCTGTCTTCCTGAGGGCTGTTAGGAGGTTCGTCTGGGGGCCCGTGTGGAGGCAGTGGCCCGAGCATCTGGCCGCAGCCCACTCCCACCTCTGCCCACAGAGGGGCCAGATCTATCAGCTGGACCCCGGCAGTGCCCAGTGCCTTTGCACCTGCTACAGGGGAGGAAGCAACCATCGCTGGCAGCAAAGTGCCTGACATGAAGGGTCTAGTATAGTGAGTATGTGAAAGCAAACGGCCACGTAACCGTCATGGTGGGGGGGACAACAGGGTCAGGACCCTGGGAGCAGCCCCCGCCCCGCGTGACTGCCCTCCTCCTCTCCCCCTCCTTCCGCCTTTGTGGCAATCACTTTTGTTTTCTCTGTACTTGCCACACCGAGATGCCCATCCCTGCGCCCTGTGCATTAGGACCCTCGAGGAGGGTGGAGCAGAGGCCATGACCCCTGTGCCCTGTGCCCTTGCCCCCGAGCTGGGAGGGCACCCAGAGGGGCTGAACCCTGGGGGCTGAGTGTGGGGGCTCAGGCTGGGCCTCCCCTGTGCTGATGGCTCCTGGGGGGGTCCTGGAGGGGCTGGGCCCCTCAGCTTCCTAGGGGGCGCAGGGGAGGGGATCTTCCAATCTCCGTGGGGAAAACAGGCTTTTGGAGGGTGGCAGACAGCCAGGGGCACCAGTTGGGATGGGAGAGGCGGGGAGAGCCCTTTGCACGGGGGAAGGGGGCTGACGATGCAGTGCTCCCCCCCCACCCCCGCCCTGGGGCGCCCCGGTGTCAGTGTGGGGTCACGGGGAGACAGGCCTCAGAGCCCCTGCACCGCCGCTTCCATTGGCCGCCAGGTGGCGCCAAACACCGAGCCTTGAAGGCATCGATCCCAGGGGACTGGAGGGGCTGGCAGGCGGGCTGGTGGTCTGTGCCTGGGTCCCAGGGCTCAGAGACCCCTGAGGTGAGACCCTCCAAAGTGGGGCGCAGAGCTACCCCACAGCCCGCCCCTAGCGCCCCAACTGTTCCCAGCCCTGTCCCCTCCCTTGCCCCATTTCAGAGCCCCCAGAAATCTGCTTCTCCCCACCCCCGCCCCCAGTGTCACCTCCTCTGGGAGGGCACACAGTCTGGGGGGAGAAGAGGAGGAAACAGGAAAGAGGGGAGGCAGGGATGGGACTGGCGGCAGGGACTTGACTGGGCCACCAGGCACCGCACGGTTGTGCCCTACCCATCTTCTCTGGAAACGCTCTGCTCGGGAGGGGGTGTCAGGAGGCCTGGCTGCGGCTTAGGGCTTATTGTCCCACCCAGGGGGGCAGGGCCAATCCCCACACCAGGTGTCTGTCCCTGGGGAGATTACTGCACCCAAGCACACACCTCCCTCCATCCCTGGCCATGGATGCGGCTCTGCTCCTGAATGTGGAAGGCGTCAAGAAGACCATTCTGCACGGGGGCACCGGCGAGCTCCCAAACTTCCTCACGGGGTCCCGGGTGAGTGGGCTGCTCTCTGTCCAGAGGGGGGATCCCCCCCACCAAGCTCCAAGGCAGCCCTTCTGCGTCCCCACTGCGCCATGGGCTTTGCCAGAACACGGCCAGGTGGGCAGTCCAGGGTCATTGGCACCTGGGCATCAGGGAGGCTCTGACATGCTGCCCGTGCCCTGGAAAGTTCTGATCCTGTGGGGTCAACTGTGGGGCACATGGTGGGGGGCTCTGGGGATTTTCTGGAGCCTCGAATGTTGAGCGAGAAGCAGAAGCCCTGGGAATCTTGGTTTCACCCATATGTCTCTGATGGACATCCCTGGATGGCGGACTGGCTGGGCCCAGGGCCTCCAATCTGGGGCCTCTGGAAGCAAGGACTTCCCCACTGCAGTGCCACTGCTGCTGCTGCTGCCACTGCTGCCACCAGAGAGGGACAGGGTCCCCCAGGAGGGACTGTGTGTGGGTGGCGGGGGGTTGCCCTGCGGTGAGCTGACTGAGCAGCCCTGTGAGTGCCGGCGGGAGCCTGTCTCAGACCAGGGTCCCCTCCGTTGGTGACCAGGTCATCTTTCACTTCCGCACAATGAAATGCGACGAGGCGCGGACAGTGATCGATGACAGCAAGCGTGTGGGCCATCCCATGCACATCATCATCGGGAACATGTTCAAGCTGGAGGTCTGGGAGGTGCTGCTGACATCCATGCGCGTGGGCGAGGTGGCCGAGTTCTGGTGCGACTCTATTGTAAGTATGCTGCCTGCCCACACTTGCCGCGGCCTCCTGCGTGGGGGGCCACCTGCATCCACTCCCCCCGCTGCCACGCTGATGGAGAAGAGACCCCCAAAACAACATGCTCCCAAACCGACAGCCCGTGTGGTGGTGGGGTCCAGCGCTGCCCCCCGCCCCCCCACTGCGTGCGCAGCCATCGGATCCCATGGGACTTTGCCTCCCCGCTCCGTGGCCCACATGGAAATGGCCAGACCCACTGACGTTTAAATGAACGTGTCCTACACAAACCCCGACATGTATAGGAAAGTCAGCGAAAGGTACAAGGAAGCCCCCTGATGACCCCCCTCTCACAGCAGCCACCTTGCCTGGGACCCAGGCCTGCTTCCTGCACCCCTGCTACTTTCCTCCCTCACCCCACATGGTTTAGGCCACGCCTCCTCATGTCCACAAATACTAACGTGTACGTCTGTGAAATATTAACGGAATGTTCTCAACATCATGATTGATGATATTAATGGGGGGATAAGTGATGGGGTGGTGAGCGAAGGCCTCTTCTAGAATGTGCTGGAGGAGTTCCAAACACTAACATCCCTGTTTCACTGACGAGGACGCATAAGGGACAGAGAAGGGAAGTGACCTGCTGTGGGTCAAATGGATTAAGAGTCAGGGTCAGGGGGATCTGCAGTCCCCTCACAGCTGACCCAGCCTGGCCCGCCGCCTCCTCCCTGGCATCTTGGGTCACCTGCACACACCAGGTGAGCTACGTCTGTTCACTACCGGTCCTGATGGTTTAGCAAGAGGTGAATTGTGTTGTGATGAGCAGTCTTCAGACAATGGTTTCCTTGCGGTGTTGGGTCGTTTGAGGTGATATCTGCCGGCTTTGCTTATGGGAGGACAGCCTTTGTGGCTCTGACCTTGGGGCCACGTGGTAGCTGAGGCTCAGCCTGGCTCGCAGGCTGGGAACCTTGGTGCCGTGGTGACCACTGCGTTTCCGACAGCCCGCTGTGTCCCCTCCCGACCCACGCGTGCACACATGCACACACGCACCTGTATGCACTTACTGCAGCCGTTTATCCCGTGATGTGCCCCCCTTTCTCCATCTGCACACCTGGGAACCAATTCACCCTCCTGTCCCCTCGACCCATGTTATTCATAATCCAGTCTTGGCGTCGCTACGCAGCCGCCTGTCCTGTGCCTGCTGTGTGTCTGTCTGTCTGAAAACACTCCCTGGGCACCAGCTTGGAACCGGGCTGTATGTTAGGAATGAAACAGACCAAGCTCTGCCCTGGAAGGAACCCAGTCCTGTGGGAGGCATGCACGCTCAGGCAATTTCAGTGCAGGGCAGCTGCACATATGGGAGGGCAGGCCTCTGTGGGGCCATAGGCCATGGGCAACTAGCGCTTTAGAGTCTTGAGGAATCATCATCATCAAGATGCTGTTGGACTGGGGATTGGAGGGTGAGTAGGAGTTCTCCAGGTCTACCCGCAGAGAGAGAGGTGGCATCCGGGATGCTGGTCTGTCTGCAGGATTTTGTGCTGGAGCCCAGGACTGCAAGGCCAAGGGTCGCAGACTCAAATTCCACGGGGGGCCAGGAGTTCTGGCTGGCCGCAGATCATCTGCCTGGTCCAAATGGGGCCGCCGGTCCTCAGCTCTAGCCAGATGTCGGGCATGTGGTCGGGGGTCCTGAGCTTTTAGGATGAGCCAGAAATCTGAGTCCCTTGGCATTTGAATGTTGGTTACCTAGTCGACCAGGACTGCACACATGAAGGATAGGACAAAGCCAGACCTGAAGAATGTTGTCTGTGACCAGCTTGTAGCCTCCAGTGTCAACACAGCCCTGCACACAGAGCTGCACTGGGACCTTGAGGCCCAGGAGAGGCGTGGGGATCCCAGCGCCCCTGGCCCGGCTCATAAACTGGGTCCCAGTCCCTGGGGCTGGAGCCCCACGCGTGGCTCTGCTGTTCTGCCCACCCCTGTGCCAGGCAGGTGGGCTGGGTTGGAGCACAGGACCGGGCCTGCCCTCCCCACCCTCCTGCTGCCACCCAGTGGGCACAGGACTCAGGATCTGTCCCTGGCCTTCCTCCTCCTCCTCTTCCTCCAGCACCCGGTGCCCCCCGAGCCCTCTTGCTGCCCGCCGTTCTGCTTCTGCTAGGATGCAGGTGTCTCCTGCCTGGGCAGCCACCTGACCCGGGCCCTGGCTCAGTGCCCTTTCTGGGAGGCAGGCCTGCGAACTGGAGCTGGGGGCCGTCCCCTCCCCCTCCTGCCTGCCACCCCGGGTTAGAGGGGTGCTCTCCCTCCCTAGTTCAGCCTTGATCCCTGTGGCATTAACGACCATCTGGTGGCTTCTGTCAGGAAGGAGCCTCGGGCTGTGTTCTGGGCTAATCCTGGCAGGCGGGGGCGGGGGGGGGCTGGGCAGGCTGACCTTCCCTGACTTGGGGGATGCACTGAGTGGCTCCTGCAGATGCCTAGGGGGGCCTGAGACGGGCTGTCGCTGACCCCGTGCAGGAAAGGGGGGGCTCTCTGATACAGCTTGTGGATGGGGAAGCGGAGGCCTGCAGGGCTAATTTACCCGCCGCTGTCCACACAGCCTGGAGCAGGGGTGTATCTGTCCCGCCTCTAACCCACGATGACCGCACTGTGACAGGTGCACACACAGGTTGCGGCCCAGGCTCCCTCCTCATCCCCAGTAGCACCAGCAGGAGGCCAGTCCAGCCCCTGGAGCTGCCCCAACCCCCACAGCCCAGAGACCCCCCCAGGCTCCGGTCTCCTGGGGGACAGAAGTATGCCAGGGCCGAGCACAGGCACCATGTGTCCTCCACAGGCATGCTGCAATCCAGGCTCTGTGTTCCCAGCTGTGCGACCTTAGGCATGTTACTCGGTCTCCCTGGGCTCTGGGGTGCCCCCTCACTCACCCTCTGATGGGAACAAGTGCCTCCCTGGCCAGGTCACTTAGAGATGGGCAGGAGGAGTTGCCAGGGGCACAGGCAGCCGCAGTTCATAGCAGGGGTGGGCAGGGGCGGAGAGCAGGGGGGCCGGGCCGGCTCTGAGCACAGGGGCCCGTGCCATCCGCTGTCTCCCCCCCAGCACACAGGAGTCTACCCCATCCTGTCCCGGAGCCTGCGGCAGGTGGCGGAGGGCAAGGACCCCACCGAGTGGCACGTACACACATGCGGCTTGGCCAACATGTTTGCCTATCACACGCTGGGCTACGAGGACCTGGACGAGCTGCAGAAGGAGCCGCAGCCCCTCATCTTCATGATAGAGCTGCTGCAGGTGTGCCCCGGGGTGGAGGGGGTGCAGGGGGCGGTCCCAGCCCCAGGGAGCCTGGGTTGGAGGGTGGGCAGCGGGTGACCAGTGGCCTGGGGCATCACCTGCCTTCTCCCTAGAGCATGAGATGGTTCACGAGCCACACCCTCGTTTGTGGGGTGGTGGGAGAGCATCAAGTCCGGGTTGCGAGTCAGTTGATGGCCAAGGATGAGGTTACACCTGAGGGCTACGTGGGTGAACTGATAAATAAGAGAACTGTGTCCACAAAGGGCCTTAGTGGGCCTGCTCGGACAGTTGTGTGGTTTGCACACTGCACAAGGGCTTCACCTCTAAGGACGTTATAGACTTTGTACACCTGAACCTTTAGGGTGACGCTTTTCCAGCAGTTGGCAATAAAGGGTCTTGTTCTGGACAAACAAGTATGGTGACTCTTCTGAGTATTCAAAGTATGATGTTGACAAGGGCCATGTATTCCTAACATGCACAAAGGTGCTGCTTTAGCACAGGCCCCAGGTCCAGGGCTCCATCCCCTGTGTCTGTGGATGGGCCCAGCCCACGGGCTTGTGCTGCTTTCCTACCCCATGGACCATGCAGAGGCAGCAGGGGGGGTGGGTAGCCAGGGTCCCCGCCTCACCACCAGCTGCTCCTGGGGCAGGTGGAGGCCCCAAGTGAGTACCAGAGGGAGACGTGGAGCCTGAACAATGAGGAGAAGATGCAGGCGGTACCCATCCTCCATGGAGAGGGGAACCGGCTCTTCAAGCTGGGCCGCTACAATGATGCCTCCACCAAGTACCAGGAGGCCATCGTCTGCCTGAGGAACCTGCAGACCAAGGTTGGGGGCACTGCGGGGTCGAGGGGCAGCTGTGGGGTGGGGGGGTGGCTGTGGGGTGGGGGGGGGTGGCTGTGGGGCTGGGGGGGCAGGCAGGCCAGGCTCACGGCAGGCATCCCGCCCCCTGCAGGAGAAGCCCTGGGAGGTGCAGTGGCTAAAGCTGGAGAAGCTGATCAACACCTTGATTCTCAACTACTGCCAGTGTCTGCTGAAGAAGGAGGAGTACTACGAGGTGCTGGAGCACACTAGTGACATCCTGCGGCTTCACCCAGGTGCGAGGCAGGGACAGGGGCAGGGTGGGGTGGGACGGAGTGGGCAGGGGCAGGCAGGTGCGAGGTGTGGAACGGGGTGGGGGGGTGGGGCAGGTGCAATCAGGTGCAGTGGGCAGGTGTGAACAGAACAGGCGGGTGCACACAGGTGCGAGCAGGGCAGTGCGGGGCCTGCGGGGGGGCAGTCATGCTCAGGCACCCACCCGCTGGGACTCCCACCAGCCGCTGGCCCCTCCCCACCAGCAGGTGTTTCTGTGCGGAGGTGAGGGCTGCGCTGGGTCCCGGCCGCCCTCCTCCTGGACACCGGGCACTGGTTCACCGCTCACCTCGCCTGGTCTGGCGCCTGGAGCAGCTGCGGGGCAGGCACGCGGTGGGGCCCAGAGCCCTCGGGGAGCCTGTGGGGGAGAACATGAGCAGGGTCCCCGCGAGGGACAGGAGTGGGTCCAGAATCGTCCCCATTTACTGCCCAGGCCGCGGCTCAGGGACACAGAAAAGTTAAGGATCACGGTCAGGGCCAGGAGTTTTGTGGGCAGGTGAGGCCTGGTCTCCCCGGGGCTGCCTTCAAGGCTGGGCTGATCCCCTTCAGGAATCGTGAAGGCCTACTACGTGCGTGCCCGGGCTCACGCAGAGGTGTGGAACGAGGCCGAGGCCAGGGCGGACCTTCAGAAAGTGCTGGAGCTGGAGCCATCCATGGGGAAGGCTGTGCGCAGGGAGCTGCGGCTTCTGGAAAATCGCCTGGAGGAAAAGCGGGAGGAGGAGCGGCTGCGCTGCCGGAACATGCTGGGCTAGGGTGCAGAGGGCCTCCCCTGCCTCCCCAGCCTCCCCTGGACTCCCCCTGGCCTCCCCAGCCTCCCCTTACCTCCTCTGACCTCTCCTGCCTCCCCTGGCCTCCCTTAGGCTCCTCTGCCTCCCCTTCCCTCCCTGGTCTCCCCTGGCCTCCTCCAGCCTCCTCCAGCCTCCTCCTGCCTTCCCTAGGCTCCCTGGCATCTCCTGGCCTCCCCTTACCTCCTCTGGCCTCCCCTGGCCTCCCCAGCCTCCCCTGGACTCCCCAGCCTCCTCTGGTCTCTCCTGCCTCCCCTGATGTCCTCCATCCTCCTCCATCCTCTCCTTGCCTCCCTGGCCTCCCCTTACCTCCTCTGGCCTCCCCCAGCCTCTCCTAACCTCCCTCAGCCTCCTCAGCCTCCTTTTGGTTATTTCTGTAGCTCCACACCCATCCTCTAGAAGAGCGTGGGCTGGCTGATGGCACTTCCTCCCCCACCATCCCCACTGCTTACTGACACCACACTCCTGTAGCCAAAATCCTGCGTTGCGCTTCGTCCTCCCTTGTCTGTCCTCCCTTGACTCTAAATGAATGAAACCAATAAATAGAGTAAGTTCCCCACAGGCCCTGCGTGGTGCTGTGATTGCTGTTCTGAGGCCCCGGCCCCGGGCCCCAGGGTGAGGCTGCTCTGGGTGGTGGTGGGGGCGCTGCACACGCCGCACACACCGTGATGTGGGACCTGCCCCCTTGTGTGGCAGAGGAGGTTTGAGGTCTGAGCCCCCGCCCTGGGGAGGACAGGGGCCCACTGGTGCTGGGTTCTGCCCCCGAGGTGCGAGGCCGCAGGGCAGGAGGCAGGAGGTCAGCCTCGGGGGACACCGGGAGCCGGGGAAGCCACAGCAGGACTTTCCTGAGGTCAGTGAGGCTCTCCCCAAACACAGGACCCCCAGCAGAACTGAGGCGTGAATGTGCCCCCGACCCTGACGCGGTGGGAGCTGCCCTGGCCTTGGTGCTGAGGCCGCGGTGGGTGGGTGGGCAGGCACGGCCAGAGACTCTCACCCCGCCACAGAGTCCATGGCACCCCCCCATGCCATGCGGTCCGGGGACTAGGGTCAGCCACATATGGCGACACGAGGTCCCGAGCCCCCGACTCAGCCTCAGCCAGAGGCCACCTCTACCTCCGGAAGCCTCGCTCTCCTCATTCCTCCCTGGTAGTGTCTGCCCTGCCAGGCATACTTCTCACCCTGGTGTGTGTGCACATGTGGGTGTGTACATGAGAGAGAGGGAGGGAGAGGGCAGGAGGGAATGCAAACCCTGCAGCCTGCCTGTGGCCCTTACACAGCCTCCAGGGAAGTCCCACTGGCCATGGGGCAGGTGGGGACAGGAGGCCTGGGGACATGGGCAGAGCATCCCGTCCTTTGCAAGGGCCCAGTTTGCAGACGGCCAGCAGGGAGCACCGGGAACAAGGGGCCAGGGGTCCCCGGGTGGAGGGCTGGGGCCTGGACCTGGTGACAGTACACAGCGCGGTACTTCCCCACGAGCCCTGACCTCCTGCCCCATGGGCTGCTGGGACTAGGCCTCGGGCCGCTACAATGATGCCTCCACCAAGTACCAGGAGGCCATCTTCAGCCTGAGGAACCTGCAGACCAAGGTTGGGGGCACTGCGGGGTGGGGGGGGTGGCTGCGGGGCTGGGGGGCAGGCAGGCCGGGCTCACGGCAGGCATCCCGCCCCCTGCAGGAGAAGCCCTGGGAGGTGCAGTGGCTAAAGCTGGAGAAGCTGATCAACACCTTGATTCTCAACTACTGCCAGTGTCTGCTGAAGAAGGAGGAGTACTACGAGGTGCTGGAGCACGCTAGCGACATCCTGCGGCTTCACCCAGGTGCGAGGTGGGGACAGGGGCAGGGTGGGGTGGGACGGAATGGGCAGGGGCAGGCAGGTGCGAGGTGTGGAACAGGGTGGGGGGGTGGGGCAGGTGCAATCAGGTGCAGTGGGCAGGTGTGGACAGAACAGGCAGGCACTTAGACACAGATATGTGCACACATGCACATGCAAGCACACAGGCATGCATGCACACAGGCATGCACACATACAAGTGCACATATGTGCGCATACACATGTGCACACAGGCACAATGCAAAAGGACACACATACATGCACATGTCTTATGTACATGTGTGCACATATGTGTGTCTAAGTGCATCGCATCTCTGTGTGCACATATACATGCATACATGGTGCACTTCTAATGTGCATGCATGTATGTGTGCCTGTGCCCATGTCCATGTGTGCCTGTGTGCATGTGCACCCGGATGTCTGCACACAGATGTGTACACGTGTGCACACGCATGTGCACCATGTGTACATGTAAGGGAGAAAAGAAGCGGGGAGAATGGACGAGGCAAAGTCTGACCAGTGAGTCATCTGAGAGGAGGGGACCTGCCAGAGGCATGTGCCAGCACTCACCCCCCAGTGACCCTATGGGTGGGGTCATTATTGTCCCAGTTTTCAGATGCAATGGGGAGGCTGGGCTCTTATAGGTGAGGGCAGCTGAGTCAGCGACTAGAAGGAACCTGACCCATGGGGCAGAGACCTCCTGCAGCCCATGTCCACCTCACCCAGATCGCTGGGATCGCAGGTCTTGTCCTCCCCCGTGTGGGTGTGGAGGCAGCGGGGGGGGGGCTTTCTAACGCCCCTTCACACACTTGCTCTCTGTGCACTTACCTTTCAGGTTTGCTCTTCTTTTCTCCTGACAAATCCCTTTGCTCGGTTCCTGGACTGGGAGCTGCTCTGACAGCGTCTCTGTGCCAGCGGTGGCTCTAGGACCGGCCACTCAGCTCAACATCCAGTTCTGTGGCAGCTGTGGGGGTGGGGGACCCCCACTGAGGAGCAGGGACACGGCCTCTGGGTCACACCCAGAGCCTGCGAATACGAGAGGTTACATGGTGCACGGTAGTCAAACCTGCAGATGGAACTGGAGTTTGCCAATGAGCTGACCCTGACGTAGGGGGACCAACCCAGAGCATCTGGCGGACCATGGGGACCACGAGGGTCCTAGACACGGAAGAGGGAAGAGGAGGCCCGAGTGAGGACAGCGTGACAGGGACCTTGCCAGACACTGCTGGCCACGAAGGTGGAGGCAGAGGCTACATGCCCGGGGACGCGGGTGCTCCCCAGAAGACAGATTCACCCCCAGAACCTCCTAGAAGGAGCCCAGCCCTGCCAACCTCTATATTTTAGCCCAGTGAGACCCATTTTGTGTGTCTGAACTCCAAGGCTGTGAGGTAGTAAGTGCCATGTTGTTTTAAGCCACCTTGTTGGTGGGAACCTGTTATGGCAGCCAGGACCGTGGTGTATGTGCAGGCGGCAGGCCCAGCGTGGACTGGTCAGCGACACGGGCAGACTCCTGACAGACAGGCACATCCCTGAGCTCAGCTCCCATGTCAGCTGCCACACCAGGAGGTCAGCAGCGGCGCCCAGGGCCCTGGCGGGGCGAGGGGATCACCAGGGCGTCTCCCTGGAGGTCCTACTTCCCTGTAGGCCAGAGACCTGGTCTCCACATCCACCCTCGTCTTCCTTTGCTCCGTCGTCCTCCACAATATACTTCACCTCTTCTGTGTGAGTCCCAACTTTCAACCTGTTCACAATTGATATTCTTGGGGGAGCCCGGAGAGTCCTACCCATGCTGCCAAGACCTCAGTCAACGAAGCCAGCTGGCCCCATTGTTTTGTTTTTCTTTTTTTAAGATTTTATTTATTGATTTATGAGAGACACAGAGAGAGGCAGAGACAGAGAGAAACACCCTTTATTTGATGAATTCGGTCACTACTTCAGCATTTTATTTTCCTTGCAGGGGATGGGAGGTCGGGGTGGTGGGCCCAAGGTTGCTCTTCCAGGTTGGCACCTTGAACTCTCAGGCCCAGGATGCCATGGGGTTTGTGGAAATTCTAAGTAGCCAGCTTCTGTTTCTTTGTTTACAATGATCTGGGTGCCAAATGAGGTCTTCAGGATGTTTGAGGAACAAGCAGCTGGGAAGAAGTGTTAGCAGACCACCCGCAACCTACTCAACCCAGGGGCACCCATCCATCTTCATTCTAAAAGAATGAGGCCCAGAGACTCCTGAGTGGCTCGGTGGGTGAGCATCTGCCTTTGGCTCGGGTAGTGATGCCAGGTCCTGGGATCGAGTCCCACACTGGGCTCCCTGCAGGGAGCCTGCTCTCCCTTTGCCTGTGTCTCTGCCTCTCTCTCTGGGTCTCTCATGAATAAATAAATAAAATCTTAAGAAAATAGAATCCTCAACTCTTCATGTTACAGATTCTTAGATCCAAGTCTTCCTTCCCAGCCCTCTACTCCAGGGATCTAAAGGTTTGTTCTTTGGGGGGGGGGGTGCAAACGATTCCCCTTTGCCTTCACAGTAATCAGGGGTCTCTCGCTTGGATTCACGAACCCACCCACAGAGGATGAGAAGCCCCTAGCGCCCAGCTCTGTGGAGGAGCCTGAGGACCTGGGTGCGTCTCCCACCCAGCAAACCCGGGAGCCGTCTGTGAGCTGGGTTGGCACTGGGCAGAGGGGAGTCAGGGGAGACAGAACCCGCCTGCCGCGATGCCTCTACGGATTTTGTGCCTCTTCCTCCAACGCCTGATGGGGCGCTGCTTCTCGCCTGTTTGAGAACTAAGAGCCTCAGAAAGGGAGCGCGTGGCATAGATCAGATGCAGCTGCGTTTTCCATTTACACAGACCCTGCTTCCTCCCGGGCTGGAGCCATGCCCCTATGGCTGCCCATCTCCCCATGGAGCATGGAGCCTGCCACACACAGTAGGCACTTGAGAAGTGCCAGCTGAACATAACTCAGTAGCTCAGTGCCCAGGCTCTCCTGTCACCAAGACCTGTGCTGCCCTTCCATGGAGCAGGGGACAGGGGATGCAGGAGCGGATGCGGGAGTGACATGTGACTGAAAGGACTGTTCCTAGGCCCTCTCCTTAGCCCTCAGCCCCCTGGGAGCAGGGGACGAAATACAGCCCATGTGCAAACCTGGTATGCAGTGTCTTTATAAATAAAGTTTTATTGGAACATGGCTATTCCCATCTGCTGCTTGC